GGCCAACCAGCGCACACCTTCCAGCAGGTTGAATTACATCGCTATGCGCCGTTGCCGCGTATCCTCCTGTCGTTCCCGGTTGACTTCTGGCGCTGGCCTTGGTTCCAGGATGACTCCAGGTGGGAATGGGAAGGAGGGGGAGGCTGCGGTGGTGCCGAGTCGCCGGGATATCGGAGTCGAGATGTTGGTTTTGGTTGGTGCTCGTTTGCATGCAGAGAAAGTTCAGAGTACTGCCGCGCTAGTGCCGGAATCACACGCTGAATTTGGCAGTCAACAGTCATCGCTCAACAGCTGAAATTTCGCGAATTCGAGTTATTTTCATCCAGATATGTATCAAATCTATTCGAATAGTTCAGACAAATCCGACATTATCCGATGGTCGCTGAGAATCGATGCTGAGTTTTGCGTGCTACGCGCAAAATTCGGACCGATGACTTCCACATTCGAGCCACATTCAGCGTGTGATTGCAGCGTAAGGAAAAACACCGTATGAACCTTCAGGCGTTACCAAATTTCCTCCGATAAGATACGAAATTACTGGGGAAGTTGTAAATATTTTTCTTCAGAATATTTTTTTCGCAATTCAATCTAAAATATCTGAAAATTTCAAGGAACAATATGCATAAATTTTGTCATGAATACCTGTTTTTTCGAGGAAATTTAGCAACTCTCGAATGTTCATACGGCGTTCTTCCTCAGCACGGCAAAATAAAGCCGGCACTGAGCCCGGCCTTATTCTACGTAACGGACGTAACACATTCAGGAAAGGAGGTTCTGCATCTGCGTTACGGAAGGGTGAGCAGGTGGCTGAGGGTAGTCACGTATATGGCCAGATTTACCTACTTGCCGCCCATGGGCCGCCTGCATTTTACCGCTCTCTTCTCATTCATTTTGAAACATCAATAAAAACCATCAAGTGAACGTGCCGGAGGGAGAAGGGTGCATAAGACGCGTTCACTCGTGTTGGACACATTTTTTGCGTAAGCCCTGTCAACACTACCTACTGGCAAAAGTTCACGGAACTTCGGGCGAAAGTTCAGTTCCGTAAACCTATCTCTGTGTGGACAAGGCCTTTCATTTGTAAGAAATGAACTGAAAAATTAAGAAAGGACAAACATAAATGTGGTTTAATAATTTTAACTTCCGCCGCCGCGCCGTGCCGCGCTGACTGCACTGTGTTTGGCGCAATGCGTGAAGTATTCATGTAGTCTTGTAGGCGCTATGCGTTTCACGCTGACCGCACTGTGTTTGACGCAGTGCGTGAAGTATTCATGCAGTCTCGTAGGCGCTAATATGTAAATACATGCCGACCGCCGCGCCGAGGGCTTCTCCTTTTCATCTCAAGTCCTCGTCATCATTTCTCTCTGCGCCGCGCCGCGCCGCTCCAGGCCAAATAACGTGCTTGGTTTCTCTCTTAACTCAACTAATTAAAAGTGCGCAGTCTTATGTATCACCGGAATACGACAAATTTAGAAACTAATGAACTCTCAGGAAATGAGAGATTTTGTCACCTTTTCTTGTTTGTAATTTCATCCTGAATCCGATTTTTTTGTACCTGCATTTAAAAAAATTGTAAAATTTGCCGCCCCCTAATTTTGCCGCCATGGGCCATGTGGCCACCCCCTTAATCCGACCCTGGTCACGTGACGCGTTAAGGGTCGTTCAGGTCTAATTGTAATATATTACAGGGAGAGTACAGAAGTGCGTTACAAAACGCTAGAATAGGCGCGTAACGCTGATTTTTCGAGAACCTAAGATGGGAAATCGACTTGAGGCGGCAATAATTGTTCATCCTAGATTCATGACGAAAACGCTAATTATTTAAAGGAGGATTCGGGGAAGCGTTGTGTCATCCTTTAGGGGTGCAGATTTGTGTTGCGGGTGTGTTATGAGAGGGAGGGGAAAGGAAAGACAATCCAATTCTCAGTGTTACTCATTCTATGACGGTCCCCAAATGTAAAAAGTTAGGTAATTTTATGTTTGGGGGGCTGAGGGGGTAGGAGATACATATTCTGGGTCATATTTGATCCTGTAACAATTGCTGATTGAGGACAAAGGTTCCGCCTTGCGTTCCTCAGTTCATCAAGAAAGATCAAGATATCCGTCCGTTGGTACAGGGGGCGGACAAAAACTGAAATAAGTGCATTGCGCAATACTTAAATGGCCCCTTAAAGTATTGAGCGTTACACCCGGAAGAGAAGAGTGTCTTAGGTGTAGCGTTATTGTCCATTTTAAAAACGGGCTACGGTAACTCGTCGAGTAATACTTGAGCGAACCCTGGGGTAGCGTTGACCCACTTTACGTAATTTTTTTTTTTTTTTTTATTCGCGTTAATGACAAATGCCTTATTACAACACACCCGTAACACCTATCTGACCCCGCTTACAGAACAGAAAAGGAATCGGCTGTACCTTGCCAATCGCTTTTGACCTCTGATTTGATTCTGTTCATCTCCTTAATGGCTGCGCTCCTGAGAGCAGACGAACAAATAAACTGATCCTTTGAAATCAGTTTGAAACAAGAAATATCCTGTTCCGATTTTTCAATAAATTTTAAAAGAGTGAGCGAATAAATTGAAGATCACAAAACAGGTTTGTATCCGGGAGGTATACTGTGATCATGTTAAACCTCAACCCATGAATCTTCATCCTTCCTCGGCAACCTTGAGAAAGATGACCCTCGCGTAAGATGCTTATCGGGTCCAGATTTTATGTAAAGTATCCATTTCATGATTGTCGGATGTCCTACAACCAAAATTGTTTAAACGTGGTCGAGGTTAGTGGCGGTATGAATAAGATTTTAATAGATTTCGAAAAATACCATCAAAATTGAAATGTTAAATAATTTCTTACAAACTTTCTTACAAAATATGATTAAAAAAGGAAAAATGAAGTGAAATGAGAAAAACCGATCAAGGGTGTTAACAGAGAAAGCCACCCCAGACTCAAAAAACAATAGTTTCACCTAACCTGGGAAAAGAATAAATCAAATTGGTAATAACCGTAGCTGCTCAAAAAGATATTTGACCTCAAGGTAAAATGTATCCTATAAAAGCAACTATTATAAAAAATAATAAAATGAAAAATCCCCCTTGATCAAACTATTGTTTTTTTAAAAGAAAAATAAAAAATTCCACGACGTCTTACGTTGGCGCCTACATGGTATAACAACGTAGTACCAAATCGATCTAATTGGTCAACTTACAGGGATCAACATTCGATTTTTTAAGCGACACTCACGTAGAAAAAATCTGGGCGCGCTGCTAATGATAATATTTCGGTCAAGTTAGCGGCGCACTCAAATGATGTTGAAAGTAACGCCTTAATACAACTATTCGTACTCTATGGACGCGCGTGTTGCATATGAGAAAATGGAAGGCGCTCCGGTCACTCCAGCCTATGAAGCAGTGCACGCAGTAGTGTGTGGCGCTTATAGGTGGTAAGATGACATTTTCTGATAAAAATTAGAAAAAAGAACAAGAAATACGGTTTTTTTGCACCATTTTCACATGTCAGGATACTAAATTCCACCACAATACTCGTTTCAGCGTGATACTGCGAACACTGCTTGATAGGCGATATGGAATGACCGGAGCGCCTTCAATTTTTTGTACGCAACACGGATGTCCATAGAGCACAAATAGTTGCATCAAAGGCGTTAGTACCGATATCATTGTCTTGTGCTCGGATACATATGTTGAGGTGCTAAGGAAAAAGGCTGTATGAACGATTTATTGTTGCCAAATTTCCTCCAATTCAATACGAATGTCCTGGAAACCTTGTGAGGTCTAATTTTTTTTAAATATCAACAAATTTCTGCACGAATTAATCAAGTGATTCTGGAAATTTCAAGGAGATAATGAATCGATCGAAAAATAAATACGTGTATCTATCGACAAATTATGAAAAAACCGGTGTCGATTCGATCGGCATGAGTCAATCGAAAAGTTAAAACGTGAAACGATCGACGTGATTCTATCGTCAACCGTGAATAGAATAGATCGGCAAACTTGTGAATCGATAGACAACCCCGTGAATCGATCGACAAATTCCGTGAATCGATGGAATCTTGGTCGATCGAATTCGGTTTCGATTGATTCACATTTTTATTTCTCGGTCGATTCAAATCGATCGAATCTATGCCCTTTTGCCCTCCCCGATTTTAATGCGTACGGTTTTTTAAAATTGCTGCAAAACTAATCGACTTCTATGCTTGTTGCACATACACCCCACACTGAAAAAAAATCTCGGTGTATTTACTAAGAAAAGGGTAGAATTACCAAGAATTCAGAGTTCTATTTGATCCCAGTTTTTTCTTGGTAAAATTACCATTTATGGAATTGGTAATTTTACCGAGAAATCTCGGTAAAATTATTGAACTTTCTCGGTAATTTTACTGGACCTTGGTAAAAACGCCAACATTTTTTATCGACTGTGGTAGAATTACCGAGATAAAATGGCAAAGTTACCGGGAATTGATTACCAATAAAAGTGGTATTCTTACCCCCCCCCCCAAAAAAAAACAGTAAAAATGCCGTTTTTTAGGTAAGCTTACCAGTCTGTCTTGGTAAAACTACCAATAATTGGTAAAAAAGTGAGATGGTAAAGGTACCACCGGACCTTGGTAAAAACGCCGAGAATTTTTTTTCAGTGCAATCAACAATAGTTGAGAAATTCTCGGTTTAACATATATGGCATCGATCTATTGAAACTGCATGTGAGTTTAATGGGATGTACAGCTTTTTGAAGATGCTCGCGGTGGTTGGCAACTGGGCACTCGGCCCTTCCGCCCCCATTCTGCGCCGCGAACACCTGTCGAGGAGCCGGGTATTATCAAAAAAGAACTAGAAACTAGCCACCCTCGTCCGTCCGTCACACACCAGGTATACAGTCTCTTTTCTCGAGGGCTCCAGGAGGGCGGGATTTCATTCACTCTCATAGCGATAGTCATGCACCCAACTGACCTTCTTTTCATTTGAAAACTGTGTGAACCCGGCTGCAGAGATGTGTTATTTATTTCACCTGCGTTATAATAATTAGGCCTTAGCTGTCATCGGACGCATTAGCAAAAAACCAGGGTATCAAATGATCCTCTTCTCCATCATCGTCATATTCTTATTTTTTGTTTTTTCCTTCCTCCTCCTCCTCCTCCTCCTCGGCTTCATCTTCTCCTTTCGCTTCTTCCTTTTCTTATTCTCTTTTTTACAATTTTTAGGGAGTTTCTCATCCACTAGAGGAGCTAAATAAACAAGTGCAACAGCGGTAGGTGTGGTCACTACGTCAAGACTATGAGAATATGAGCAGTGTACTCAATCTGCAGGACCAGGAGCCGAATTTCGTCGGCTCCTTCACATGGAGGTGCAATATCCATTGATTCGTCCAAACCGCGCCACCGGCCGATCAGAAGCGCGAAGATAGACTCAAGTATATATATATTTGAGTGTGTTGGAAGGACCAAAAAAATTTAGCCCCAACTTTAAAGCCGTCCTAAATAATTCTCATTTTAGGAAAAATTTGCAACAATGCAAATTAATTTCTTTCAGATTCCATTGTCAGAGACAGCGACTGTAGATTCAGCAGGTTTTTCTGCCCTTCTTTTTTTCATTCTCAGCATACTGTATCTTATTTCTGAAGCTTTATTTATTTATTTTTTTTCTCAAGTCCAAATTGTTCCCTGTTTCATTTCTCTCCCTCCCGACCCTCCTAGCCTCTCCCTTATAAACAAGAAAGAGGCATATGACCGAGAAAGGAGTGGAAGTCCAGCCGAAGCCGCCAGAGAAGTTGTCCGATCCTCCATTGCATTTAAATCAGCCTGGGATCGTGCATTGTTGCTGGTTATTCCCGAAAAGTTCCCGCGCTTCGTCGTATCAGTTCGTATGCGTGCGAAATCCCCCTGCAATCTGGCTATCCCCGTGCAACCTGTCGCGGATGGTACCCGGTACCACGCGGGCAAGTCCTCGATCAGAGGGAAACCCGCCCCCCCCCTCTCTCTCCCACGGGAGGAAGAGAGCGCAGCTCAGCGGGAAGAGGTAGTGTGATTTTTGTTGTATTGTTATTCCGCTGTCTACCTGTTACCTGAATCGCCGAGGATGACTCATACCGTGTTTTGGGATGCGAGCATCCTTGCCGCTTATTGCCGTTATTTTTTCAATTATTCTTTCCTCGACCGCGAAATCGATGAGCACTGATAAAAAAAAAAAAAAGTTTCATCGTAGGAACCGCAGTGTGGTATGATAATTTCGGCTGCAAAACACTGGTAAAGGGGAAAAAATCGGTGTCGAATACAGTATCTACACGTCGAAATGAACAAAAAATTTGACGTCGGCTTTTTGGTTCATTTAAGTTAATAGCAAATGGTAAAAAAATTCGGCTGTTTTTGCGCCTCAAAAATTTGGCAGCCAGAGTCGAGATTTTTGGTACCGGCTGTAGGAATTCGGTAAAACTTTTGACAGCTCCGTAGCTTTACACACAGTGGCGAGGCGTGAATGATTGATATCGATATTTTCCCATTTGAGGCTATGGTAAGAATCGATTTAGGGTATTCGCTGCGAATAGACAGAATGAACCCGAATGCTGAAGGAATCGATCATATTATTATGTAATTTTATCCGAATCCAACTTTAAAAGCGCATCTCTGGTAAAAACTGGCAATAGGAGCTGCATTTCAAAATTTCTTAGCAATCCTTATAGCCGGCTATACATAGAAGGCGATAGGTAATCATATAGCTGGCAGTAGAAAGCGAAGAAAATTATACAGCCAGGCTATACGAAGCGATAAAAAATTATACAGCAGGGCTATAGTTCCTATTGCTAGGCTATACAGTTTATCGCCATCGGCTGTAAAATGCTATAATAAATTGTACATATAGCCGGCTAAAAGCTAAAGGAAATCTTACAGCCGGCTGTAGGTCTATAGTATTTTGGAACACAGATCCTACTGCCAATTTTTACCAGGGATACTACTGTCGAATTGTCATTTTTTTCTTACGACACGACGTCGGATAACTACTTACATGACAATATTTTTTCCAGGTATTCGGTTCGTGGATCTGTATGCTTCACTGTAAACGTGAGGTTCCGATAACCACAGGCCCGGTTCATGTGATGGAACTTTCCGGTAAAATCGAACTACAGCGGAAGTTAAGAATCGTGAATCGAGTTTATTTCAAACTAGGACCTAATTGCTGAGAGAGTTTGGTGCATCTGGTGAACAGTTAGAAGGAGTGATTCCATGACCAAACTGAAGAAAGAGCTCAGTCACATGATCCTCATCATGATCCTCAGGTAATCATGTAAACAGGCAGGTAAGCCGAGGCGAAGTTCCTGAAATTGAGTCATATTCGCGGCAGAAATTGCTCAAAATGCCAATTAATAATAAAAAAAACATGGAAAATTTTTTAGCGCTACATTCATGTTTTCTAAAAATGTGCAATGAGTAAGTTTGGGGTCATAGGAGTCACAGTAATATGATATCCGCTCGGTGAAGAGAGTTAGAATGGAACGTCGTTTCTCCTTCAATTCAAGAAGTAGGCAAACGCGGACCCACAGATGTCGCAATTGTGGCATCATCACATACATCATGTGCAATTGAATCAGTGAAAATGAAAACAACACTAACTTGGAAAAATGAAAATAATCAAGACACACACAAAACTGCACAAAAGGTGAAGAGGTTGGTTTACGAAAAATATTTTTGCTGCCGAAAGGCTGCAAAAATCCCCCGCAAAAAGGCTGCCCCTCCCAACAAAAAATTGTTAATATTAAATGAAAAGTATTATGTACATTTTCATACTGTACATATTTTAAGTATTTCTTACAGGAAAGAAGAAGCTGGACAATTTTGAAAACACTGTAATCGCGCTGGCTCATTTTTGCTAAATGCTATTCATATCATTCCCTAGTATATACATTATTTTATGCAGCTAACTCAAAATCGACAAAAATGGAGATAACGTAGTTTTTATCTGTCTCCCGCGATTGCGCTCTCCGCTACAATTTACTTACCATCACTGAGGGTTCTAAAATCAGTATTCTTCGCTACTCAACATTTTTTCTCTTATTTTCACTCTTATTAGCGCGCTTGTTGTGATGGCGCCTGCCGCAGACTTAACTGACTTAGCTGACTTAGCCAACTTGAAAATAGGCGGGAACCGTCAGCCAATCAGAGATAACTTGGTCTCTGTTTACATAACCGCAAACCGGACATAACCTCAAACATAAACATGTACATTCTTCTGCAAAGCTGCTTCGACTAAAGCTAGTCCTCTTTACATTTTTATATGCATACCTTTACCTTCAAGCTTCAGTTTATTTATTGCAGGCAGGCGCAATGTGGTTACTGATCTATTTGAAGTAGACTTTAGGGAAACATTAATTCATTCTAAGTGTTTTGGCTGGCCAACATCTCACCACCATGGAGGAAGTCGACAAAATTATTCTCAACTCTTTGAAGGAAATAAATTGGTACGTTACTCCTCTATATTCTCATTACTTCGTTTTAGGTTAACATTGAGTTACGGTATTGCTTGAACTGACAGGAAACTCTTCAAGACAGGGAGAGATAGCCACAGAAGAGGTTGTGATATCGCAGGGCAGTTGCGTTTAGAGGCCAGAGAGCTTAGAGGAGGTTGTTATAGTTTGTCTAATATCTACTATTCCAGGACTTATTTTCATAGTTTCTCTCTCTCAGGAACTAATTTCCTTTGAGACACAAGGAATCAGTATGCAAATTTGAGCCTTTTGGATAGAAGTATCATTGATAAGAATTTCTGGAAATGACTAATGTAGTGACAAGAGACCCTCCACTGGTATCTTGGTAATGGTGGAAGCTTTTACTTTCGGTACTTCAACCTTCAACTGTTAACTTACCTACTTGGCTGATGGTTAACAAGGTGTTGGGAGTTTCGCATAGCAAACATACTGAAGTTCGGTAAACTTTTTTGGCTCATGACGTCACCTGTAGCTCATCTCCCACCTAGTAAGTAGGTTAACAGCCGTAGAAAAGGTGATGACTGTTGCCCCCATATAATTGTCCATAAAGAAATGTTGAATCCCTGAAAGTAAAAGCCTCTACCTGTCGCCAAGACTCCAGTGGAGGGTCACTTGTCTCTGCCCACAGCCAATCTCTCACATGTAAAAAGTAAGTAACCAAACTTTTCTGTAGGAGGACTGTTTTTAACTGATTTTGAATCAGCATGAATTTTTTTCAGTACACTAACAATTTTTGGTAGAGCTATCAGAAACTCTAAAATCAGCATATTTCATAATGAAATCTAAAAGAACATGCATTTTGATTTGCCGCTAGTATTGCAAATTTCTAGACGTATTTTATTTTTTAAAATTTTGTTACTGTGCATTTGAACATAATTTTTAGTTCATTAGCAATATTGGTTTTTTCCTCTCTCTAATTATTGTCCTTATTTCGACTCGTCTTTAATCTTTCATTTATTTTGAGTTATTACTACAAAATCAGTGTTTTCTATTAAAAGTAGCATCATGATTTTTTAGAGAAGAAAAAACCATCATAATGATTTGTAATTTTGATTTTTTGTTTTGAATCATTTTAGTGGTCATAAAGAACGTTCTGGTTGTTTCCTTTTTTGCAGAAGGTTTAATGTATGTTACTGTTGTTGCGTTGCTCGGGTGTTTTTTAGTCTTGCCCAAGTAATTTTAGTACATAACGGAAGCCCAGGTGCCGTTTATTTTGCCATCAACATTTGTACCACATCAATTTAGTTTCAAGAAATATACGCAATAAAAACAGGAAATTTTTCAGAATATAAGGTATTATTTGTTTTTAACTTTCGCTCAAAGAGGAAAGATTGCTTCAAGCAATCCAGTATCAGTGAATAAAATAATTGAACTTTAAGTTGAAGAACTGGTGCCCAACAGCTTTGCTATATTACCTACAGCCATACATTTTTATTATGTTTTTGAGGACATTTTTTTAGTTTTTCCAAATTAATTTGATTTTCCTTTTCAGTGAACTAGAAGAAGATGTCAAGCTGTTGAGACATTTATCAAGTGAAAATATTATTGCTGGTTTTGCGAAATGCTTGAATCTGATCAACCCACCATTAAACTTATCGACGCAGTTACCCCCTTCCATGTCCGAGCGTTTTAAATTGGGAGCCTCGATAGCGAATGCCATCAAGGTGAGAACCAACTTTTTCATCACTTTCTCAGTGTGTCTTTCCACTTTTAAAATCCGTCCCTGGAATACCTTCTCCAAGGGCAGCCAAACTTTTTGCATTCAAAATAACTTTGGATAAGTATGTTCAATCTTCAAGTACGGGTGAAGTACTCGGCAAACATTGTTCATTTTGGGAGGTACAAATATTTCACATCATATTTTAAGCGCACAAGCCATCTCAATAATTCACAGACAAAAAGCAGGGTTGTTTGCATTCAAAATTATCCTGTAAATAAACTCCTTGATGACAGTAAATTGTTCCAGGTAAGGTGTAGGCAAAGCTATGGTAATGTCAAATTGGAAATTTTTTTACAAAACAGAAATATGTATTCAGTACTATTTTTTTCTGCACCAATTCTAGTCTGGCAGAAGAATCCAGGCAAAAGAATAGAGGGCCAGCACAGAGTGCGTAGTCAGCAGTTCACATGGATGTAACAGGCTCAGAAAAATTTGGAGGAATAAAATGTTGTACGCTACTTGTTTTTGGAGTATTTTCTGTCATTTGAAAAAAAGAAATATCATTACGGAGAGAATCTTCAAGTTCTTACCAGATGAGGGGTATCCTTTTTAAGTTGGAATGGTCAGAGGGAGCTTTTGGCTTGGAGGTTTGCACAAATATAAGTACAAAATAGGTTTACTTAGGTTTTAAAAATTGAAGACATTTTTTTCATTTAACATGCTGTAAATATTCAGATTTAATGAAAATACTTTAAAGTGCTGGGAAATCATAGAATTTGCAACATTTATTATGGTTTACAATTTAACATATTTTGAAACTGCACAAACTAACATCTAATGGTTTTCATGTTATCCCAGGAACTTGGATACAAAGATGAGATAGGCTACCAGACCCTCTTGTACTCAAATGAAATTGAAATCAGACGTTTGTTCACCTTCGTAATTGAAAAACTGCCAAGAGAAAAAGAATCTAACGTTGATGGAGGTAAGTATGGAGTTGTGGATTGATAAATCCAATGTTTAAAATTCAGTTCTTATACAACAGATCTGCGCTTTTTTTATTTTCTTTTCTCTTTTTGCTCTGATAGCAGGGATAAAAGCTATTTAAGACAACTACTATCCTATAACCATCAGCATTAATTAGCATAACCAACCAAATCTGCCGATAGGCCGGAGATCGAGGCTTGCTTGGTGTTCAGCAATGCTCAAATGGGTCTGGACCTTGACTCCAAACCCCTGCAAACCCTGACCTCAAGGGCTAGTAGCTCTGATTGAAATGACCGAAAATTGAAGACATTGTGAGTAAGGCAACGAAAAATTTCAGTCATCTCAAGCAAAATGTCTAAGCACCTTTCAGTCACCAACCTTTATCAGGTTCTGATTGAATAAATTATTTTCCACTGTCTGCTTTACAAAATTTTTTTTCTGTATTCAAACTATTTATATTGCTCATAATCAGGTTTGTCGCAAATTATTAATTTTTATTTTTCAGGAAGGATATCCACATTCCAACAAGATATTAGCAATGCGGTGAAATTATCTCTTGGGGGCGCGAAACCTTGTTTGCATCACAGGGTACCCTTTCTCAGCGTTCCTCTAGAGACTGGAGTTTCCCTGCCAGGAGTGAAGAGGGATGTTTCTCCTCAAGGTAAGGAACTTCCACACAGTTACTCCACATGCTTTATTACGGTTTTTGCGATGTTCCAACCCGATCACTATGATCGCATTTTTTTTATGAGCTTTGGATAAATTTTAGATTTAGAGTTCTAATTGCTGGAATCAAGACAATTTATCTAAAATGGTCCTTTTGTTATTTCATCTCAGCGGCCATGTTTAAGTTGTTAATTGTTTCTTGTAAACATAAGCTCATGTCTGCCAGCCATATGCCCTGATTGGCCTCTCTATTGAATTATAGATGAAAGTATTACTTGAAAATAGTTTCAAACCTGATGGCATGATTTTTCTTAGCTTCAGATTGCATCATTGATGATTTTGCTCCTTTAAACATAATTTTCAATTTTTTGTCTCCTAGATTGGTGCAAATATTGTTCCGAACAGTTGCCTTTCCTGCATGAACAGACAGATTACCGACACTTGCTGCCATCTGTAATCACACTAAATTCTCGGGGTATTTTGTGTCCGAGTCAACTTGGTAATAAAATCAAAGCATTCCCTGCTAACGCTCAAGAAGATTCAACTAAATCAGCTTTACTCAAGCAGTTAGAAGATTTGAAATTATCAAATGTGAGTTATGCAAAGTGTAATTTTTATTATTTTTTCATATTTTACTGCATTTTTTTGACTGTGGGACTATAATCAGGTGGACCACATTAATCAATTTTTGCGATTAACCTAACTTAAAGAGGCTAGTCCCTTGGTGTAGTAAGGACCAGGTCAGTCCTTCTTAACCCTTACCGGTCCAATGTCGGACGTATTCGCAGTGAAAAATAACGCGTCTAGGTCCGATGTCGGATATAGTCACCCAAAAGTTTGAACTTCTGCGCAGGCCTGATGTTGGGTATATCCGACTGTTCCAGCAAGTGGGGGCCTCTGGTGGAAACCACTGTCTTTGTTGACAACATCGCTGCTACCTTAACCTCGCTTCTTGCGGCCGTGGAAAACTGCCGCGGACTGGAAAGGGTTAAAGGCAATACAATGCTTAGTACAGGATGCCACCAGTAATCTAGCAACAGTAGGGTGAGAGCCCAACAACCATAGATCAGCTGAGTATAGACCTCACAGTAAACTTCTGATAAGCGNGATATAGTCACCCAAAAGTTTGAACTTCTGCGCAGGCCTGATGTTGGGTATATCCGACTGTTCCAGCAAGTGGGGGCCTCTGGTGGAAACCACTGTCTTTGTTGACAACATCGCTGCTACCTTAACCTCGCTTCTTGCGGCCTTGGAAAACTGCCGCGGACTGGAAAGGGTTAAAGGCAATACAATGCTTAGTACAGGATGCCACCAGTAATCTAGCAACAGTAGGGCGAGAGCCCAACAACCATGGATCAGCTGAGTATAGACCTCACGGTAAACCTCTGATGGGCGGCAAATAGCTCAGCTGGGCAGCTAGATTAAATCAATTCGAAGATTGATGTAGTTCCTAAAAGTGAGCTTCTTCTACCGATGAAGGATTTTTTTCCCTATAACTCTTCCACAATGTCTAAAATCTGATTATTTACTTGTAAGTACGGTTTAGTTCATCACCTCATTTGTGTACGTAGCTAATTTTTATTCATTTCAGGGCACAAATATTCAGGAATTAATATCAATTTTTTGTAATTGTCCTTTGTAGGAAATTGGGAAAGCTGTTAAATCTGATATTGGAGCAAGTGTCAATGAGAAAGCTGACCAAGAAAAAACTGAAGAAGAGAAGATAATTTCTCAGCTGGAAGCAGAAATCCTTGAACTGACAAGCAGAAAAGAATCATATGAGGAAAAATTGTCTCAAGTGAGTCCAAGTATTTTGTATTTTTTTTTAAATTTTGCTCTTTTTGATAACAGTCCAAAATTCCTGCAATTTTTTGGTCTGCAAAAACTTTTAGTTTTTTTTATTAGCTCTCTAAGGAGTCCTCATTAAGCTCATTTGGTGAAAAATCCATCCTCACATAGCTCACAAACTAGCAAACTAAATTTAAAAAACAATGAATTTTTGGAAAGCTAAGATCATGACAGTATAGGTAGTTATATCCCATTTCAATTATTTTTATTAGTTTCAGAGTAATAAGAGGAATTTGCTTACTGTACAGTTGCCCCTCATACCATAGTGGACCAATAGACAAGGCACGAAATTAAGAACCACAGTATATGTCTCCTGAAGGAAGATTTATGTAGAATATGATGAATGCCTTAAACATTTCCAAATTAACTCATGAGTAAAAAAATAACGTTTCTTGTTCACATTAATTGGCACTTTCTATTCACAAGAAACCTTCTTCACCTTAATTTCTATTTATTTAAATTTTCTTTCAATTTTCTAGTTTTTAATGTATATAATTCTAATTAGTTGCTTAGTTACGAAAATGAGCAACGAGGCTATCGAACACGAGAATACCAGGAATTTACCTTAAATTTTAGCTATATCTCAGTAATCAGTGTATATAATGTATCATGTGTTAATATATATCGCCCCTAGTTTTGCAGCAATTGCTAGTTTTGTGACCATAGTACATGGAAATCAGCACATCATGTATAAACGCATCATTTGTTCAGCAAAATGTACTATGTTTCCAACAACCTCTTTTTGTTTTTGAAGAGAGCTTGTTTCTTTTTTTTAAAAAATCCTGAATGTTGATGAATTTTAACTTTAAAGCTCATTTTCTTTTTTTCCAGGTAAATGATTTAATAATTCAAAATAAACAGCAATATGACAATAATCTACGAGAAGATCGCGTCAGATTATTGTTAACGCAAGGTGATGAAGGTCACAGGAAACTAGTTCAAGTAGCAGAAGAAGCTGGCAAAAAATTAGTCCGTTTAAATGAGCAATGGGAACAACATCGATCAACATTAATGGAACAGTATCAGGCAGCACAAAGTTTTATTAAATCAAAATCGGTAATATTCAAGTACTATTCTATTTTATTTGAGCCTTATTTACCACTGGCATTGAACCTGAAAGAAAGAAATGGATGTATAAAATTATCCAAGAGTCAAAATTGAGGAGAAGAAAAATTTGTTTGAAGTAATATTCGACCTAAGAAGTGGACTTGGATCAAAATTCGATAGTATAATAAGTATATAGTATAGATGGACTGCATTAAGCAGAAAGAAACCAAGCCACATCAGCTATTGCCAAATTTAACGGGGCAATTTAATTTTTTACAAGAGAACGCTTGAGCGGATTCCTTTGAAGATGTTGAGGAATGTGCTTCGCACTGCTTAGAAAATTCACTGAAATGTGCACAAAAATTTGCAGAACTGTTTTCATTTAAAAAATTAAATTGCTCCGTTAAATTTGGCAATAGCTGATGTGGCTTGGTTCCTTTCTACTTAATGTGGTCCATATATGACGGATACATTGATTAAATTGATTAGTTAGCACAATTAGGTGTGTGTTTGAACCAGGATGTTGATCAAGCTATCAAGGATAAAACATCATAAGAAGGAAAGCTGTTGCATCAATAAATGGAATTCTCTGATATCAACAAATTTTGAAAGAAACAAAAGTAACATTTACAACATTGTGGTGGAAAGTATTTTAATACAAGAATGTGAATTTTGGGAAGCTAAGGATTTCTAAACATCCTAATAGTAAGGTACCCTTGTCAGTTTACTTTTGTCATATTCTTATCTCCCCTAATTTTCATCCATAGCTATCAAGACAACAATAAAAACTTTTAGGCTAATATTTGACATGCATCAATTATTTATCATGATCTCAACTTCAATTTGAATCCCTTTCCTCTTTATAATGATCTTTATGATTAATCATTTTCAATAGAACGTTAGCAATGAACAGATGGAGGTAGTTCAAGAAACACGTAACACCTTGAGAAGTTTGCAGGAGCAATTGAAGAAGAAACAAGCTGTTCAGTTGAAACTTGAAGCAGAAGTTGCAAATCTGATTAAAAATCCGAAGCCATTAAGGTAAGAGAAAATAGTTTTTACCCCTTCAATTTTTTTTTTTTTTTTTTTTTNTTTTTTTTTTTTTTTTTTTTTTTTTTTTTTTTTTTTTTTTTTTTTTTTTTTTTTTTTTTTTTTTTTTGAAAAACCTAGCAAAGATTTTTTACACCCCATTGTAAATGTGTGCTTACTTCAGTTTTTTTTTCGAATTGTACTCATGAAATCTTGTCGTGTTCTTTTTTTCTCAACTTAAATAGAGGTACTTTATGAGCCTTATCCTTTTGTAAAGTCTTGTATCAACTTAGTTTAACACTAGCGCACCAAGATGCATCAAGTTTTATTGGAGAAAAAGAAGTTTGAAGTTTTATTCCACCGAAAAACACAATTTTAAGGGCAAAGTTTAATGACCATTCTGACTTTTAAAGTATTTTTTCTAGACTTAGAATTTTTTACAAGCAAAAATTTACTACCATTTAAATCCAAAACTGCTCGCAACTCATTTTTTCTAATTAACATGATTTTCATATTTCTCATAATTTTTTTCACTTTTTTCTTGATGCATTTCTGTTAATCTCATTCTGAATATTTGCTGCTTTACTTAATAAACATCTGCTTGACAAGTAGGAATTAAGAGTTTGGTCATATTTCCATCCAATCGGTTATCGCCATCTCTAACAGTAAGAGTCAGTCAGAGGCTGCCAACACTTTCATCAAACCTCTCTTTCGACCAACCATTCTTATTTTTAATCACAAAACCCAGTCTACAACTTGCACTGAATCAGGAAGTTAACTGTGATTAACACATTGCCCGATATATCATTCAATATGACTGTAAGCGAAAGTTTCACCTGATGCCATGGCTCAGTGATGGCTGCAAACCAGTAAATTTGACTGTTCCCCAAACCTTAATAGTTATGAGTGTCATTTGGTAATGTTTAGCCTGTAATCTGTGTGGCACCAAATGATCATTCACATCTTTTTTCAAAATTTTTCTTTTTTCCTCTTTATTTTGATTGACACCATTGCTTCAGAAGAATAATTTACCAAGAACACAGTGACAGCTAATAGGCTAAACAATATTTTTGAAATAAGTGCTCTTGTAGTGCTTGCAAATTTTATATGCATAATCATAAGAAATAAGTACAAATGACCCTGGTATATGAGAAGAAAAACTCATCTATTTTTAAGTCTCTATCTTGTATTGATGTTGGTTCTCTGTGTTACGAATGCATAGAGCTCACTTTTGTGTTTTAGTTAAATCTGTTTTTTGCTTCTTTTTTTTTTTCGAATTTTATAGATCAGCATACACTCAGAGAATCATGGAAATCATCTCCAATATTCGGAAACAGACAAATGAAATCAATAAGATAATTACAGATACCAAAGAAATGCAGAGGGATGTTAACTCCGTTACAGGTCGTCTTGAAAGGGTGTTTTCCGTCGCTGATGACTTAATATTCCAGGTTTGTATCATTGCCATTCAGCAAGAAATCAATATGGATGTATTTCTGTTTGTCTGGTAAAAGGAACTATGTGCATTATGACGTGAGCCCTGTTATGCATACATTTTGATGGTTCTCAGGGCTCATGTCTCAATGCACATAGTTCCGTTTGACAGAAATACGTCAATATAAATCTTCATCACAGCAGTATCTTACTTAAAGAGGTTTCCCTCAGAAGAGCATCTTAAAAAAATATCTGGCTTAAGCTAAAGACTTTTGAACTTTTGAGAAAGAGGCGCCACACTTTTTTACCGTGATTCTGCATTGGATCTTGGGATCATCATGAAATCATGAGCATGTGTTTCCTAACATACATAGATGCTGTATAATTTAATTTCTCAATAAAAAACTGAATAAACTTTATTTTCAATTGTGAAAGTTTACAACACGCCCTTCTACAAGCTGCACTCTATTTCTCCATTATTAGGCTAATGAAGTTTTGAAATAAAGTCCAGTCACACTAGGCCTATGCCTAGATTTGACTTTTTGCTGCCCTTTAATGGTTATGGCAGGAGAACTTTTGCAAGGAGGAGGTTCTGGGGGAAAATTTTCAAAAGATAGAATCTCTTTTGAGCAAGTCTAACATATTATAAGTCAAATCTTACCTGCAAAGCTGTTACTTTATAATGATATAATCATGGGATTTTTAACATTTTCATTCAGTTTACATTGTGTTTGATCATAATTTTTTTCTTCAAATTTTTAGGCAGCAAAGAAAGATGAAGGAGCAAAAAGGGTGTACAAATCCCTGGTCGCACTACATTCCGACTGCCAGTACTTGGTTAATTTAGTTGAGGAGACTTGTTCCCTCATGATAGAATCAAGGGATCTGGAAGAACAAATATGTACTGAGAATACCAAAAATACCAGTGAGAATCTTACACTTGTCCTGCAAGATTTGCAAATAATAAAAGAGGAAAAAAGGAAGATGCGAGGAAAGAAGGGAAGTTGATAAAGGTATGTAAACTTTCATTGCTTGATTTTTTGTATTATTTTAAGTATTATGATTTAGGTCTTTTGATTTACGACATAGTGAATGATATTAAAATCGAGCTAAAAGCCAAATATGTAATTCAGTGTATTCGACTACATGATGTTAGTTACACAACAAGCAATAGATGAAAATACAACTCAAAAAAAATTCTTTACTATAGCAGACGTTTTGACCCAAGAGGACTAGGGTCTCCTTCATTGCAACAATAAAAAACTAATGGAAAAATTTCAACAAAGATGAAAGAATTAAGCAGAAACTGTATAGCGATCTAACTACATCTCAGAAGAAATATAAAGTATATAATAAAAATCAAGGGTGAGTGATAACAAGCAAATAATAGGCTTGTTATCGCTCACCCTCGATTAAAATGTATCATATATTTCCTCTAAGATGTAGTTAGATCGTTTTGTAGTATTTTCGCTTTATAGTTTCTGCTTCATTCTCTCAACTTTCGTCTTTGTTAAAATGTTTCCATCAGTTTTTTATTGTTGCACTGAAGAAGACCTGAGTCCTTTGGGTTGAAACGTCTGCCGTTTTAAATACATTTTTGTGAGTTGTATTTTCATCTACTGGTTGTTGTGTAATTAACATCATGTGGTTGAATACACTGAATTATTTGCCTTTTAATAGCTTGATTTTTATATCATTCACTATGTCTTTAATAGCTTAGTCAGCCACATTTGACATTAAAATTTTTTGATTTATTGGGATAATGTTCATGTGTAGAGGTACAGGAAATTGCTCATGCTTCTAATACTTATATGATGGACCTAAAGATACAACAGCGCTTAGCAGTTCTGAAACTTTCAAACTGATGACAAAAACATTTTGTCAGGGATTATGTACTTCTCTTTTTATACGAAGGAAGAGGAAATGAAATAAACAGCTGGAAATGAAAATGGGGTGGACACAGTTGCTTAGCCAGATGCTTGATCAGATGTTTTGCAATTGTTAAAAATTCTAAAAATGTTTAACGTCAAACGCTCTGGCTCTGTTTCCTGCACAATACCCATTTTTCAGAATCTTTATTTTCCCAGTCAGTAAATTTTTCTCCTCACATATGTAAGCTATTACTTTTTAATTTGAATTTGTTTCAACTTATAGTCGCATCTGTAGATCCATTGGTCGTTTAAAAGTTGGCTTTTGTAGGGGTTATTTCATAAATTTTTCAAGTCTAAGGGAGAGGCTTCGCAACTGGCATTCAAATTTGTCAAATTCAATTTGGTGGTTGATTCGCTTGGAAAGCGTCTTTTTCCTGAGCCTTTACGCCAATTTAGTAATATTGAATTTTGAGGAGGGGGTCCTGGCCCTCACCTTTTGGGATCAATATTTTGAAGAGGAGTGGGTCGATTTTAGATTTCTTGGTTGTGATTTGAGGTAAAACTACCCATATTTTCTGAATTTGATAGAGTAGTTTCAAAATTTTGAAGGGAACCTCGAGTCACCCCCTCACTTCTCAAGGGGCCTGGAGAGGCTTCTGGATCATGAAATTTGGATGCCATGGGGCCGATTTTCTACTCCATCATGCTAAGGAAAAGCACTGTATGAACATTCAATAGTTGCCTAATTTCTTCCAATAAAACATCAATTTTTGAAGATAGTTATGAGTGCTTTTCTTTGAAATTTTCAGATATTTAAGATCAAATTACGAACACAATTCTTTTAAAAATTCGGAGATAAACAATGATAAGTTTGCCTGAAAAGTCGGGGTTTGTTTAAGGAAATTTGGCAATGTCTGAAGGCTCATACAGCGTTTTTCCTTAGCACAGCAGTATTCATCCCTGCAGATTCCGACTGCATTTAACCTAAAATAACCGAGTAAAAAGCCTGGTGTGGGTGTTCTGGGATATCTACACGTATACTTCGGTTTTCCTCTTTTCTTTGCCCTTTTTCAGAACAAGAGCTAGGGCACTCTATTCCGATGTATTCTGTTGTTTTTCCCCTTCTAATCACATTTCACACTTCTAAGGGGGTGGCAGGCGGTCCGACAGACACNNNNTGGACCGGATCCGTTCTGACTGTGAGTAGATTACCTACTTACTGGAGAGAATAATTCTGCTCTCTGATTGGTCAGTGTGTTTAGGTTTTCATGGTAGCCCCTCCGCTCCTAGTTTAGCCCAATTTAAACAAACAAGATTGCGAAGGATTTCTAGACGCGAAAGAGATTTTCTTATTTTTAACTTCTGATTTGAGTTCTGATCTAACTTTGATGATTATTTTACTGGAAATTACCCTCTTAATGTGATTATCATTTACTTTTCACCCAATGATAAAAATTCCTTTTGATCGGGTTAGTTTACATTGGGCCAGCCTTGGAGCTCTGATAGGGATGGCACTTTTTAATCAATTTTTGAAAAATAGATTTTTTAGCGAAAAATCGATTAAATCGGATCGATTTTTTGAGGTCGATTACAAATCGGAATCGATTTTTCCAACCGAAATCGAATTATGGAAAAAACATCGAAATTTCCTACACTAATGTGTCACACAAGGCCTAGGTTCTATGAAAACAGAATTTCATTTCAAGCTCAGTTTTTCGAAAAAAATCGATTTTTTTCCTTTCGACTTTTTTTATAAATCGAATCGATTTTTTACCGGAAATCAAATCGATTTCGGGGAAATTGATTTATTCGAATAAAGCGCCATCCCTACTCCATGAACGCCTAAAACTGATGGACCAATCGGAGAGCGAGGTACTCGAGTGCTGAGGGCTGGCTGAGGGGTGAAAATCTCTCGTGCGTTTGTCAACACTGAACGTGTCCCTACACCAAACTGGCAACACTGCATTGGTTTCCCAGTCATTGAGGAGCCGTCCCACACTGTTGCCGTATTGCACGATAAATGGATCGCGCAACATCAAAGAGCTTCAAGAAACTGGAAAAAGTTTTTTTCGTATCATTTTGCTTTGGTATCGTCGTGGAAACGCCATAAAAATCGTGATCGAAAAGCTTCTCGGGATTAATAACTCTGCTACATCACCATGAAAATTGTACCATTTTCCTATATGAAAATAGTACCCCAATTTTCAAAAGTAAGGAAATTAACTAAAATAGTGTGCAAAATGTCGTTTAACCCGACCGTAACAATTTTTTTCTAATCCCAACCGGAATGGACATAAACTGTGCTTTTATGTTGGATATTTCTGCTATTATATTCCTTATGAAGAAATCTCCCGTGAAACATCTTCATTTGCTCGAATCTCGAAGAATGGGCATGGAGCCCTAGTTAACCGCGAGTTCGTAGTTCGTAGCTCAACATCCCCCCCCCCCTTCTTCCCATTTTTTCGAATTTTATTTTTTCTTGAGGGGTTAAATCCTTCAAAAATATATCCCTTTAAATGTTCCGATGTATTGAAAATTAAGTAAAAGCCATGAAAAAAAGTCGAGAGGAGAAAGGCATCACATATCTCCAAAATTTCTCCTGAAAATTAATATTGTTTCGACAGTTCGACTGATTCAAGTGTCGGTTGCCAGTTTGGCCGGAGATATTTGCGGTTCCCGTGAAATTATTCCTTTTTTCATCTCATAGCAAGAAAGAGTTAAAATAAAGATGTAAGTGCGTAACGCGAGCTGATCTGCTGTTGTGATGTGATCCTAGTTCATTTACAATTGTATTACTGTGACAGTCGGCAACACTGTATCCCCGAAATCGAGAAACGTCTCTGGCGGCAAAATCAGCAAGTTAGCAACATGTGGATCGGACGGAATGCGCCGTTGATTCGTCTTGTTTTCGTTCGCATTTCATTGCATTGTGTTCTTATCTGACAAGCTAATTTGTTGCCTTTACGTGAATGTCATCTTTCCATTTACCTCTCTGACCGGCATTAGCATTATGATTTGAAAGTCTCAAGTAGTCCCTAGCCGTGCGTTTTATAAAATTTGACGAAATTCTTGGATGAAGCCGTCGTCCCTACGACTGAAACGATTTCCTGAACTAGTAGCTGACTACGAGGTAAGATCCAGAATCCTTTTAGTCGGTCATTCATCTCACGATTCCTTTCGTTTTTCCTTTCTGTACGCTACTTTTTCTCCATCGAGAGCTAGTGCTATTATTATGGATTCCAAAGTTCTTTCCCTGTCGAGGGCTTATCAGTTGTTACTCCTTAAAGTTTTAGGCCTCCTGAAACTGTCAACCATCCAAGTATCAACCGCATAAGTTCCCAAAATCATCATTGAGCTGTTCCTCCAGTCCCTATAGGTAATGGGTTTCGCCTGTTTATTTATGGATAGATGATCTTTCATTCAGGCACTAGCAGGGATGTTAATCACTCACCATTTGTAGGTACTTATGTCTACCTAGTGGTGGAAGCTAGCCTTCAATTGGGAGCGGATAAGCACAAGTGGCAGTGAATGGAAGCTGTCTTGTTCTTAAGTTCCACAGTCACTTGTGCTGGAGGTTTGCCCCTTTTTACTCTGACACAGTTTTTGTATTGAAAAGGCGGTTCAAGTATTACGGGGCTTGTTACGTCAGGAAGTCAAATATTCCTAGGGTCCTAGTCATCCTGAAAGTTTGTTGGTTTCCTCAACTAAGTTTTGAAAGGGATCTAAGGAATCTAGTTAGTAATTACTGTACTGCACTGTTCTTTTATTTCTTGTTGCGTACATAATCCTGTGAAATTCATGATATGGGGCTGTAAATTCCTTTTTTGATTAAATTAGGGTTCAGGAACCAACATTTTTCTGGAGCGATCTTCCGCCAGGATCCCAGACATGTCTAGTCCCTCCATATCCTTGCTTTAAGTTTAGATTACAGGTACCTCTTGTGAGGCAGCTGCCTTCCTCTGTGATAGAATTACTTACTTCAGGAAGGATAGGTATCTAAAACGGGCTTCTAACAATTCTACTGTAAGAGAGTCTACATTCTCTTAGTACTTGGGCTGGAGAATCTAAGTAGAATTCAACTTTGGCAACAGCCGAGTGTACTGAGCATCTGCTGCATCCTCAATTTTGGCATAGCATCAGGTGTCAGCGACTAATAGGTGAACATTGATAAAACTATATGATACATCTGTTCACCAATTATGATCTCACAATTTCACGAACATCCTAGAGACATGTTTCCTACCTAGTTTTAGTTCAATTTGTCCTGTATCCGTGGACCTCAGTTTGAAAATGAACAGGACATTTAATTGAGCTTGCTGTCAGGTGCTAATATTTGATCTGTTCCATGATCATTTTAGCCCTGAAGTGCCTCTAGGTATGTTAAATGAAGTGTGCAGTGATTTGCGAAATCTTGAAAATCTTAAGAGTAGCTTGAAATAGTATTCACATTTCCTCCTGTTTGTATTTTAAGAATATATGCAGGTGTTACAGACTAATGCAGATTTTGAGCCAATCGCGATCTATGCATTCCAATCGGCGCAGGCCGATTTGAATGAGACCTTGATAGACAAAGCTTGGCGCAGTAAACGCAGGCCAATTCTGATCGGCAAGTGTCAATTTGAGTTGGTCCAAGCAAAACTGGGTTGATTGTTTTTGGCAGTTTCATTTGATAAACCACCACTTCAAGATCTTGGCTTGCTTCATTCACTAGCAAGTCCTAACAGGGAAAAAGCTGTCAAGGTGGTTGCAGAACAAATAGATACTCCTGTGAAAGGAATGGTGGACCTTCACTCTTCCTAGTGTCAAAAATTGTTTGCACCAACAAATGACTTCAATCAGGTAAGCATCCTCTGCCAAATGTCCTTTTTGTTAATTCATTTTTTGTTCCAAAGGCCGAGCTGTGTGTTTCAGGCTCGCTCACTCGCTCAGGCTTCTTAACAAATTGATTTTCTAACAGCCCAATTTTGCTTGGGCTAATTACAATCAAGCTAATATTGCTATTGGCCTGAGCAGATCGCAATTGGCACAAAATCAGGATCGGCCTGTAACATTCTTGTATATGAGTCATTGAAATTATATTTTTTATGAACGAAGACTGCTCTTTTTTTAAAATTTATGGGGAACGCCAGCCAATATTTGAGCAATGAAAGCTGGAAGGAAAACATGGGGGTTTCGCAACCCTTAAATTTGGAGCACTAGAAGAGTTGGAGGAGTGTAAAGAAAGAAAGCAAAAAGTCAAATCTGGAATTTTCCAAGTGTGCGAGTTCTGAATTTTCTGGAGTGTATTACTGTTAGAATTTTAGGTGCTTCATGTGGTTCTTGCAAATACCTATTAGAATCACGACATACTCATCATCAGTCTCCATAGTATTTTTATCAATTGTTAGTAAAGACGTTAGCTGATGGTTTTTTCTTATCTATCCTACCTCTTGTTTTCATCTCTTAACATAGCTGATCTTTGTTTTTTTGTGTGATGTGGTAGGTACTGTATAAATTAATATGCCTCCTTTTTCTTCTTTTTTCAGATATCTTGAAGCAAATATTATTCAGCGAAAGACCCTATACTTCCTATCCACGAGGATGGTATTTGCTGGTGTACGAAATTACTGACAGGAACTGGAACATTTTTTGAAAACTGGCCCTGTTTTACCTGCCATCTTCATTTGTCAGCAACTACTAAAGTCTTGAAGCGGCGGAAGAAAACAGCGTCTCATTGATTGAACCATCGTTGAGGTTTTTGTCATCAACTTGTTTCTTTAATCTTTGGTGTCAGCATTCCTTCATTGAGATGTCACGCAGTCATCAAAATAAAACGGAGAAGTGGGCTCTAGGTCCAGACCAACTGTCAGTATCACCCATCGCTCTAGCAGCTTTAAATGGGAACGTCAAACGTGTGCGTTCGTTGATTCAGTCAGGGGCAGAGCTTAATCGGAAGGAAAGCACAATGGAAGCAACCCCAATTTTTAGCGCAATCATAGGTGAACACGAAGAAATCATAAAAATAATGGTCCAAGCTGGAGCAGATTTAAACGTGAAAGGTGACAAGTTCATGACACCCCTAGCTCTTGCCGTTTCATCAGGCAAAGTGAACTTGGTAAAATGTGTCTTAGATCTGGGTGCAAAAATCAAAACACGAGTTTATGACTATAATTCAGTGTTGCATGTTGCAGCCGAGTGCGGCTGTGCTGATGTAGCTAAATTTCTAATCGAACGAGGCCTTGATGTTGACATCGAAAATGTCGCAGAAGAAACACCATTACACTTGGCTGTTAAAAGAGGGGAAACTAAAGTTGTAAAAACACTCATTGCTTGTGGCGCAAATGTTAATGCAAGCGCTTGCACCGTTGAAAAAGTAGAAAATGAAGAGTGTGGTCTAGGAACAAACGTTACTCCTGTGTTTTTAGCATCAGCTTATGGGCATTTAGATGTTGTTGATGTCCTTATCAAAGCCGGTGCCGATGTCAATGCTAAAACTAGTGGCAATCATGTTTGCTTGCATCCAGCAGCTCAGGAAGGGCCTCTTGAATTAGTGAATATGTTGCTCAAAGCAGGTGCTGATCCGAATGTCAAAACTTTCATTGGCCGTTCCCCTCTGTTTTTTGCTGCAAGAAGCGGTGATGCCAAGATTGTTGAAGCTCTCCTTAATGCTAAAGGCATTGACCCCAACCCTAAAGCCAACTGTGAGGAAACTCCATTAATTATGGCTGCTGGCAATGGATTTTTATCCATTGTAAAAATGCTGATTGCTAAAGGAGCTCCTATCAATGGAGTTTCATACTGTAACATGACTCCACTCCACGTAGCGATTTTGAAAGGCCAAGAAGAGACGGCTGAGTGGCTGTTAAGAAATGGAGCATATGTGAGTGCCCCTAGTGTGGGTGGCATCAGTCCAATACACTTTGCATGCACTAAAGGTGTGTCCGTGAATTTACTCCGAACTCTCATCGCGAAAGGTGCAAATATCAATGACAAGTCTGTTGAGGGTGCCACTCCTCTGCACCTCGCAGCTCAGCACGATCACATTGAACTGGTAAAGTTCCTATTAGACAAAGGTGCCAATCCTAATGCTACTTGTAGTTCTAGTCTCTCTGTCCTGCACCATGCGGTCAAAGGTGGTAGCGTTAAAACAGTGGAATTACTTCTCACAGAAACAGATGCTGATCTAAGCAATGAGCTTCTTCTTATTGCGGTTCTTAAAGGTCATCAACAAGTAGCCAGGATTTTATTGAAACATGGTGCAGATGTTAATTCTGCAGAAATGACAACTGGAAAAACTCCACTTCACATTGCTGTGGAGAAAGGAAACCAAGGTTTGGCAGAGTTGCTTTTAAAGTACAGACCTCACCTTGATGTTCTAGATAAAGAGAAAGGATCTACTCCTCTGATTCTTGCTGTAAAAAATAAACTTTTAACAACAGTAAAAGTTCTAGTGGAAAGAGGGGCTAATGTCAATGCACCAGGTAGAGGTAATGTTTTTCCAATCAATATTGCCATTTCTCAAGGACTTGTAGACATAGTAAAGGTATTATTCAACAGAGGAGCTTACTTTGAAATACCAAGCAATGGGAAGAACAGTAATACTGGTCCTCTAATTAATGTAGCTAGGAAGGTTGGAAATTCAAAATTAATCACCATTCTTGAATCGGTTGCTAAGCTATTTACGGCAGTGGAGAAAAGTAACATACATGAAATAAAATGCTGCATTGAAGCAGGTTCTATTGTAAATGCTCGTGACTCCAGCGGGAGAACGGTTTTACACTTCGCTGTAAGCAATAAAAATCTAGAAATTGTTAACATGCTCTTGGCACAAGGAGCTGATCTCACTCTAGCAACTAATAAAGGTAATTTACCCTTACATCTCGCTGTGGCAGCTAGTGACATTAGTATTATTAAAACTCTCTTGCTCCATGCCAGAAAACTTGACCTCACGAAGTACAACTTCGTTGTTAATGCTGCAACCTCAGAAAAAAAAGCAACAGCCCTGCATGTTGCAGCTGAAAAGGACAACTTTGATATCGTAAAACTTCTGATCGAAAATGGAGCAGTCTTTAATGCTAAAAACAAAGCAGGGAAAACACCGGTGCGCCTATCTAGCAGCAAAGAAATGACAAATTACTTTGATTCCATTGAAAGTTTGTTCAAAGCCTTAAAAGAAGGAGATGGACCAGAAGAGGTTGCCAATATCCTCGTAAGTCAACGTTCTGTAATGAATGCAAGACATGTTGATGGAGGATGGACACTCCTGTATTGGGCTATCTCTGAGGGTCACTCGGATCTTGCTAACGTTCTTGTGAATAATGGTGCAGATTATTTTCTTGTAACAAATAAAGGAACATCTCCATTACATATTGCTGCCTCAAAAGGCGATTGCAAAGCAGTCAAAGCACTTCTGAATCGAGCAAAAAGTGACAATCCTGCTAAAGTTGAAGATCTCCTCGATGCCTTCACTGTGAATGGCTCAACTGCTCTGCATGTTGCGGCAAATGTAGATGTTGTTCGCTGTCTATTGCAAGAAGGGGCAATCTATAACATTCGAAATGGCGCCAATAAAACAGCACAGGAGCTTACCAAAAATGATGAAATCAGAAAATTGCTCCGAATCACAGCTCATCTATTTGAAACCATTAAAAAATCTGAGTCCACAGTAATGAGCTCTCTAAGCGACTTGACGAAAGAAGACTTTCAAGCTGTTACTGGTGCACGTAACGAAGAAGGTAAAACCCTGAGACAGATAGGTCTCGCTAGTGCTGATGTTAAATTTGCCAGCAAGTTGAAAAAGAAATTAAAAATACAAAAGTGATTTCATTATCAGTTACTCAGTAATTATTCCCTCATTGTTTCACGTGATTGATTTTACTCAATTATAAGAAAAGGTTTTTGCATACTGCTGTTCTCAGTTGGTAGTTTTTTGTGTTCAATTTCTAACTTTTAAAATGTTCATGACTATTTTCTAATCTTCTTCAGTAAACATGTTTCTTTCTTTACAATTTTGAAACATTCTGACCAGCGTTTGAAACAATTTAAACGCTGCAATTACACTATTTCAATTCTGTAATCTATTCGTATTTTAATGCAATTAGTTTAATTGGAGTATTAATTATGATGCCTTACAATTTTTTTTTTCTTTCTTTTTTTTTTCCATCATTAAGCTGTTTTGAGGGTCATTCAATGGTGAAAGCGTTTCATCTTTTGATTTATGATTTGTTATTCCTGATACTTTTAGTTACTCTTACTCCTTTTTTTTTTAGATTTGCTTATGGGTGTAATAATTCTTTAATAGCTCAGAAAATTGGGTGTTATTTCAAAGCTTGGACTGAAAAGCCTTTATAGAAGACAAAATGATAGGGCGCTCTGTTTGTCTTATGAATGACCCATCAGGGTGTGGCTTTTTTCAGTCATCATAGCAAATAACACCAATCGGCTCTATCTATGAAAATAATGCATTTTCTAAAATATAAGCCAAGTGAAGTATTTTTTGACAAAGCACAAAGGAATCAAAATTTCAGAAATAACCACTTCAACTAATATGGAGAACTTGCTGGCCTGCTTACCTTTAATTAAACCAATACATTTTCTACGCAATTTTGATCATTTAAGCTTTAGCTGAAAATGCCTCCAAGTTGCAAGTTGAATATTTTGCTTGGCTCGAATTTTAGACAACTCATCATTTGGATGGAAAGAACCGATTCCTACCAGATTCCACTCAATGTTTAAATAACCGCAGTGACCTTCACTTCAATGATCCATCTAAACCATCAAAATTTTCAAGTGTTTCTTTTTTTGTAAGTTTAATTTTAAGCTAAGGTTCAAGATGAACGATTACTTTGAATCTGTAAGAGATAATTGTCAATATTCATGTGTGGTAGATGATTCAGTTGTAGTTTCGGAAAAAATGTTTAAAGCTCACTGCGCCTAATTGTCTACTGTTCTTAAGTCTGTCTGTAAGTTTCTGTCAGTTCTTTAGAAAACTTTAAATCTAGTACAAAGCAATATCTATATAAAACTTTCTGTGTTTACTCTAAAATTGTTTGCTCTTTATGTACCTCTCATTTATTATTTTATTAAATTTTATTAAATATTACCCTCCTCTAAATTTTGTTCCATTTATTTTATTACCTATGACCTGATGAAAACTTATTTTTTTATTGACACTTTTAGGACGCTTCTTGAACTCATGCTCTATTAGTCTTCAGTGACAGACAGGACCGTATAGCAAATTCTTGTCCATTTTTAATATTAGTCAGAATCACATGGCTTTTCAAGTAGAATGAGACAACATGTCTCTCAAACGTATTTTAGATTCAGTTAAAAAATCATAACTTGTAAGCCAACAGATTCCAATGAATTGTTAGGTATTGATGTGTCATTCCCCAGTGCCTGATGCTGCCCTTAACTAATTGTAAGATTGTTAGAAGCCCCTTGCGACCGATACTGTTGTCAATGTGCTACTCCTAGATTATTGGGATGAATTTTCGTGCCCAGGGACCAACAGCCAGGTGGGATCACAGGGAAAAACTCTGTGGGGTTGTTCAATATTTCGGGTAATTATAATCCGGCTTGTCTCCTTTGCACAGTAAATTCATTTAGGTGGTTTTACAATATTAGTGTTACTGTATTGGAAATAATTTTGTGTTCATTGTCATTAGGTGAGGATACTGGTAACTGAAAGTTAAAGTAGGAATGAGACCATCTCGCAAAGAATATCTTGCTCTTTATTAGCTTCGTAAAGTTCATTATTATCCCCAGGTTGATGGGAAGCAAGACCAATCCACACAGGTCAGTCATTCCCGTGAACGAGTTTTGGTACTCTACTGCGCAGTGACGTACTATTGAGTGCTTGCAATGTATTTCTTATGGGAGCACCCATTGTGACGTACTATTGAGTGCAGCCGAGTTAGGGCCGGGCGGGGAAGTGGCTTTCAAAAAGATGCGCAATGACTGACCTGTGTGGATTGGTCTTGATGGGAAGGTAATTTGGATTGCATTTAGCAAAAAGGAACCAGAGCGGTTGTTTTCAAAATCGTGTAACTTCTTTTTTCCTTTACCAAATACTCAATAAATGTACAGTATTAAAATTTACACAATTATTTTCCTTTAAAATTTTTCGGTGAGGAGCAAAACATATTTGCTATCCTGAGAGGTTTTTTTAGATAATTATGAAGAATCAACATTTTTACAACACTGTAATTGCGCTGGTTCCCTTTTGTTAAATGCAATCCATTTCTTGTCCTTCACTCATTCGACTTTGGCGCTGAATTCAGCTTTTTCATACTATGATGATATTATAATTGGACTGCATTAAAGAACGGGAAGAGGTGATATGATATTCAATTTTGTGCTCAAAGTGAGGGTTAAGAGCTGTTTTTTGAGATATTTTACAGTCTAACAATTTCAGCCCAATCTCAGAAACTTCTTTACTGCTGTTAGATCAAATCATGGAAATACATTTCAACCTAATTAAGGCGCTGGGTGGAGAAAAGGCACTTCTCGAAAGCAGTGCTCTAGAATCTCCACTGACAATTAGTATTTTGAAAGGAAGTTACTTGGGTGAATCTTCTGAATTTGTTTTTAGAGCATTATAAAAGTATGTAAAATATCCAGTGCAAGTTTTGACAAATTATACATATAGTACCTAAGTCAAGCTTTGATCTGAATGTTGGTGGATATTCTGAGACACTGCAACTGAGAAGTGCTCTTTCCACACCCAGCACTTCAGTTCTGAGGGAAGTTTTTCATTTAAAAAAAATCACCCCTTTATTGCCCTGCATTAAAAAACGGCAAACTGATACCTTAAGTTATCCTTTTTTCTGAGTTTTCTCCATATATTCATCGTTTAAAGTTCATTTTCACCATATAGGAGCAAAAATTGTCTTCAAAATATCTAAGAATATGTGAGAGCAAAGTGGGCCTACCCTTCTCCTCATGATTCCACTTTTAATTGGATCGCATTTTGCAAAAAGGAACCAAGAGCATTTCAATGTTGCTAGGATTGCAACAATCTTAGCAAAAAATTCCTGAAATTATGCAAAAACTTAAATGTACAAAGGTAATTTTCGTCTTGAATTCATAGTTTATTTGGAGTACAGATAAAACTTGTTTAGATGATCTATTCATATTTACAGGATAAAAAAAGTTGCACAATCTTAGCGACATGGGTATGCTCTTGGTTCCTTCTTGCAAAATGCAATCCAATTAGCCCCTCCTGAAAAGGAAAGAGATTTTGCGAATCAACTCCAAAACATGGGTATTTCTGTCATCAGATTTTTCCTCTAGAAAAGCTCACAATTTCCTTTGAGATGTCTCGGTCTTCAAAATTAGTCCTAGGAGCCAGGAAAATGCTCTCAAATTATCCTTGGTAACATGACTTGAACGCATTTATGCTATGTTGTAGACAAATTCTATACTCATAGTTCCTTCTAGCATAATAAATAGCAAGGCTCTCAGGCTGCTACTTGTTCATTTCCTTTTTCTTATCTTTTAAAAAAGTATTCACTTAATGCAAGTGAATTATAGGTATCCAACATAAAGCCTACTCTCAATAGTATTCAAGCACTTAAAGAAAAGCACGGCTTTGCTCCAAATTCTAAGTTAATGAAATGTGCCTAAGTATTTAGTTTTATGCAAACAAATATTGAGTGCATCTCTCTTTTACATCACAGGTCTTCGTGCCAAAATGATGTTTTCAACAGCAGTTTGCTCTTCTGTCCTTCTTGTTCAAGGATCATGTCAGCGACTGAAGGGGGAGTTTGCTGTTTGGGGTTTTTACAAGGGGTGAGATATGTAAACCTCAACCTTCTTAAAAAAGAAATCATTTCTTCAGTTTTTTTTCAAGCTTTTTCTCTTGTTTTCTTAAAAAAAAAGGGGGGGGAGAAGGCTGTTCAGGGCAGTTTTATGTAATTTCCCCTGATACAGGGGGAGTGAGAGGTTGTCTTACAGGTATTGTAAGCAAAGATGAAAAGAGGGTAAAGCAGTCGGCCAAAATGCTTTTGGTAATACTTGAACTCTACTACTTGTCTTGATGCTTGCCTCAGTTTTTGCCTCAATTCATCCTAGCGTATAATTTTGATGGTTTTTTTTTTTTTTTTTTTTTTTTTTTTTTTTTTACAGATCTTGCCACAGCTCAAGTTTCTTCAATCCACTCCCTGGCTCCCTCAAGTTTTCCTGCATCTAAGTGTTTTGCCATCAGTCAGTCGTTACCTGCAATTTCAACATCTATCACCCAATCTGAAGAATCTCATATCTGAAGCATCGAACCAGCCCTATTTTCAAAATGCCACGCTCTAAAGAAACCAAGAGTAAACTAACAGATAGCGATATCAAGGAGTTCAAGGACTTTGTAAAGGATTTGCCCTTTCATAAAAGTCTTATAATGTCTACACCTCTTCACACAGCAGCAATGACAGGTAATGTACAAAAAGTGCGCTCTCTCATTAAGTCTGGTGCTGACATAAACTTTAAAGAGCCTCCATATTTTGTCTCTCCAATTTTTAGTGCCGTCCAGGGTAAAAATAAACAAGTTGTTGACATGATGATCAAAGCTGGAGCAGAGCTAAATGTAGAAGCAGATGATCACATGACCCCTCTTGGTTGCGCTGTCCTGGATGGTGACTTGAATATAACCAAGTTGCTTGTTGATAATGGAGCTCGTCTTCACACTCGGATCTACGACAATTTATCTATTCTGCATGTCGCGGTGGCGAGAGGTCATGTTGAAATCGTCAAATACCTCATAGAAAAAGGCATTGATGTGAATGCTCAAACTGAGGATGAAGAAACAGCATTACACTTAGCAATCAAAACAAAAAACAAGGAAATTGTGAAATTGCTTCTTGATGGAGAAGCGGACACCAATATTATGGCCAATAATGTCATTGAAGAAGGAACAGATATTGATGAAGAAACAGGAGGAGGACCGAAGATCACTACATTGTGGCTCGCACTTTTCCTGCAACTTCCAGATTACATAATAGATCTTCTCATCGAAAAAGGTGCGAACATCCATGCCAGAACTAGTGGTGGTCTAACAGTTCTCCATTTAGCAGCTTTATTAGGGTTTGTACGAGAAGTGAACTTGTTCCTTCAAGCAGGCTGTGATGTCAATGTTAAATCGCATCGGAAAAACACACCCCTACATTTTGCTGCAAACGCGGGTCATGTCAAAGTTGTCGAAACTCTGTTAAAAGTTGAAGGCATTGAAGTCAATCCCAAATCCAACATCGGTGAAACTCCACTAGCTAAGGCCGCTGGTCATGGATCCCTGGAAATTGTCAAGGCTCTTGTTGCCAAAGGAGCACCTATCAATGGCGTATCGTATGAAAAAATGACTCCTCTTCATGCTGCGTGCGTCACAGGACAATATCAAGTCGTTGAATGGTTGATTAAAAATAAAGCTAATGTTCATGCTAAAGCCTCTATGGGTATGACACCATTGCATTTTACGTGTGTCGAAAAAACACCAGTAAATGTCATTGGAGCCTTAATTGCAAACGGTGCAGACATTAATGCTACATGTGATAATGGTATGACCCCAATACATTTTGCTGCAAGTTGTGATAAGTTGGATAGTTTGAAATACTTGGTGAAGAAAGGTGGAAACCTAAGAGCAAGATGTTTTATGGGTCAATCGGTTTTGGATTACGCAGCGAGAGGTGATGATGGCGTCAAAACATTGAAGTACCTCATATCTGAAACTGGAGTAATTTGGGATTGTGACCTTTGTTCACCTCTTTACCAGGCTGTTAAACGAGGAAGATTGGACATGGTTGAGCTTATCATGAATAATGGGGGAGTTGTCAATGGTTGTGTAGCTGCAACAGAGACGCCTTTGCACATTGCTGCCGAGAGAGGTGATGCAGACATGGTAAAGTTGCTTTTGAAGTATGAGCCTATAATTAATATGAGAAACACAGAAAATGGCTGCACTCCTTTACTTTTGGCTGTTAAAAAAGAACATAACACAATTGTCAAGATGCTGCTGGAGAAAAATGCAGATGTCAATGTACCGAGCACCTCTGGTTTGTATCCAATTCATGTTGCTGTCAGATCAAAGAATGAGGATGTAGTCAACGCTCTGCTCACCAGAGGATCATACTACAACATAGAGGCTCAAGGAGAAAAAAACTATGACTATCCATTGAAGATGGCCCATAAGTTGGGAAATTCCAAATTGATCACAATGCTTGAGCTAGTTAAGAAAATCTTTGATGCAGTGATTGAAAATGACGTTTATCAAGTCGAGTGCTGCATTCAAGCAGGTGCCATTCTGAATGCAAAGAATGCTTCTGGGACAACTATTTTACACTATGCAGTCAACAATAAAAATCTGAAGATTGTCAATTCTCTTTTATCGAGAGGAGTTGATTTTACTCAAGCTACTAACAAAGGCAATTTACCTCTGCATCTGGCTGTCTCGCTCGGTGACATGAAGATTATCAAAACCCTTTTGACCAATGCAAGGAAACAGAACCTCATTAAATACAATTTAATGGTAAATGCCACAACAAAAGAAGGTCTCTCGACGCCCCTCCACGTTGCTGCCGAAAAAGGTAATTTTGATGTTGTTAAACTCCTGATAAAAAGTGGAGCCATCTTTAATCGAAAGAACAAAGATGATGATACACCTTTGGAGGTAGCCAAGGACGAGAAAATCATTGAATACCTCAGGTCAGTAGAAACGTTGTTCGAAGATGTGAGCAACGAAGCAGAGGACCTAGGAGAAGAAGCTGCAAGCATTCTTGCAAGTGAACGCTCAGTGATGAATGCAAGACATGCAAGCGGAGGTTGGACTCTAATGTACTGGGCGATTTCAAAGGATCAAACAGATCTTGCTAAAGTTCTGATCAACTATGGGGCAGATTATTTTCTTGTAACGAACAAAGGAACATCTCCATTACATATAGCTGCTTCTAAAGGTAATCTCGAGGTGATGAAAGCTTTGTTAAATCGAGTTAAAAGTGACTGCCCCGATAAACTAATTGACTACATTAATGGTCGCACAGTAAAAGGCTCATCTGCCATGCATGTTGCAGCAAGTATTGGTGCTGTAAGGTGGCTAATGCAAAGAGGAGGTACTTACAACATTCGAAACGATAAAGATAAAACACCTCAAGATGTTGCAAAAGATGACAAAATTAGAGATTTACTTCAAACCACACATGATCTTTTTGAATCTGTCAAAAAAGGTAGCGCAACTGTCAGAAACACTTTGAATAATCTGGATGAAGAAGATTTTAAAGCAGTAGCCGGCACCAGGAATATCGAGGGACAAACATTACTTCAGATAGCCACTAAAAACGGCAGTGGCAGACTAGCAGGTAAATTGCTGGAGAAATTGAAAAAATTAAGTTAAACTTCTGCAGTTTTTTGGGCTCATTGAAATTGTATTTGTGAGAACTATTTTCCATCTTATTTTTTCATGGCATTTTGACCCTAAGCTCAAAGTTAAGTCGTTCGAGTTTTCTGTCAGGAAATAAAGAAGATACAGTTTTTTTATTTTTTAGGACGATCTCATTTATTAGTATTCAACTTTGAGGAAATTAGTATTCTCTTCTTTTGATTTCCAATCATTAATCCCGGTGTTATATGTACAAAAATAAATTATTCCCAGTTGGAACTCCATAAGCTGTAAAGTTATCTAAATATTTCAAAATAAAACCATGAATGGCTCGGTAATTATTTAACCTGTTACAAATTCAAGCCTGGTCATGATGACAATCCTTGATTTCATAGAATTCCCTGCAAAGTAATGCCAAAAATGGTTTTTAATTCATAGCAGAGAAGATCTGCAGGAGAGATGTCCATGTCTGGAATTTAGGGTTATGACAAAACATAGATTAAGTACTGCCTTTAGATCGTTGCTTATCAAGTGGATCCTTTTAGCACCTTCAAAATCGGATTTCATTGTCTTTTAGACCTCCATGTCATTTAGACCTAAAGGATAGCCTCCAATGCCATTTATGCCTTGCATGCTCAAGAATGTTAGTGCAGCAGTATATCCCTGATCATGTAAACCATCAAATTTTAAGCTTGCTTCTTTTTGCTGCTGACATCAATTCTGCCGTGCCAAGGAAAAACGCCATATTAAAATTCGAGTATTGTCAAATTGTATTTGTCTTATCTTTCGATAAAATACTTATTCTTGAGGAAATTTATAAACGTTGTTCCTTGCAAGTTTTAGGCATTTCGGATTAAATTTCTAAAAAGAATTTGGGAAAAAAAGGGGAAAAAATATCCACTATTTCCCAAAAAAATTAATTTTTCATCAAAAGAAATTTGACAACTTTGGAAAGCTCATACGGCGTTCTTCCTTAACACGGCAGAATTGTATTTCTTGTGTGTGAATGAATCCTTCCTCCTCTACAAAACTGCAAGGTTTCAGAGGCTTTGTTGAAGTGCCATTAAACATTTATTAATTTGACAAACCAGTAAGGGCCGCTTTGAATACTGACAAAACCCATGCCTTCCTTCTATTTTTAACATTTTAATTAAAGAAACTCTTGTGTCATTGTCCTCCCAAAAATTCCTGGAAGTCTCCAGACAGTCGTCATTCATGGCACTCTGTTCGCATTTTGAGAGGATTATTTTTTGTACTGCTCTAGTTAATTTTCACAGTTAAATGCCCATTATTGTTCCTTGTTTTTTATGTCAGGTCCTTTCGGGGAATTTTTAATTAGGTACCTATATGCTGTTCTATTTGTTCTCAATTGTCCATTCTCTTATCCTTCCATTTTTTAAAATTAAGATAAAGTAAAATTTACCGTATAATTAGTCAAAGCTCTGTCACTTGCAAGTGTTAAAATTTATCTTTTTGACTAAACAGTGTAAGTACACTTCATATTCTTTGTGCCTTTAGTAATTATTAGATTGAGAGTTGAAAAAGGAAACTATAAATATTCCTTTCATCAGGTTTTTTTTTATCCACATTTCAACTTTTCTAAATGTTTTTAATGTAGGTCATAGATCATCGTGTTTTTCCTTATTATTTTTGTCAGCATTCTTTTTTTTTTTTTGGTTTCCTCTGTATGTAGCCCATATTTTAGTTCGTCCACAAATTAGCAAAATGTGGCCAAGTCTTAAATTGTAAATTTCTTGTCTTTACTTTGTTTTTGTTCTATATTTTTTCATTATTACATTATTAAATTTTATTGAACTTTCTTATATCTTCCAGTTTCAATGTTTGTTTTTGCTCTTAGAAAGTTTTTTTCCCCATGTATTTGTGATATGTTATGTATTGATAGATAATATATTGGGCTCAACTTTAAACAACTTAATCTTTTACTTTCTTCTCCTGTCGATATAACAATCAATACTCTTGTTTGGAATGTAAAAATAAATTAGCTTTGTGCTCAAAATAGGCTTACGAGTAAATAATAACAGTAAAAGTTACACAAATTTCTCCCCCCCCCCTTTCTCTTGTTTTATCTTTACACATGTGCAATAGATGCAAGTTAAAACATCTTTGCTCATATCTTGATGAAATTAAGTCCATGAAGTTTTCTATCTTCGCAATTCAGGGGTTCTCAACTTTTTAAAGAAAATTACTATTACTATTTATTTTTTCAGAGAGTCTATGCATGAAAATCAGTATGAAGACAAAAAATCCCTCTACATTACATAGGCAATTATGGAGAATCTTTTTATCATGGTGTAGGAACTTTAATATCTTAAAATGACAAAAGTGTTGTGCTTTTGAATTCTGACAGCTTTCTTATCCAACTTCATCAATTTTAGGCCCCCCTTTATTTATTCATGTTCTCTCTATCTTTAGTTAGTAATTTCAGCAAAGATGTGTATCCTACTCACCTTTAAAATCTGAATTTTAATTAATACTCAACTAATTTACTTGCAATAACGGGTGAAGGTACTTTTCTTTGGTATAGGAAGATCGGGGCCGCAGCCCTCATAGAATGCCTAGGCGCCCTCCCTCCTCCCTCAGAGGAACTTTTATTACATTTGTGGGCGTTCCGCACTGCTTGACTCTTTGAAGAATAGGTGATCCTGTGCTCTCCCTCTCTAAAGAAAAATTTCCATCTCTCGGCATCAAGTAGAGAAATTTGCAATGGAAGTATTGAAATATAATGCAATTTTTTTCTAAAACCACAGAATTGCACATTTTCATGTCATTTGGTCAATAACTAGCAATTTTAAACTGTAACTAAGACAATAGGCAGACAGATAGCAATGTAGGTAGGTAAAAATTGGACCGCATTTAGCAGAAAGGAATCAAGCCACATCAGCTATTGCCGAATTTAACTGGGCAATTTAATTTTTTACAAGATAATGTTTGTGCGGACTCCTTTGAAAATTTTGAGGAATTTGCTTTGTACTCTGCCGAAAATTCACCGAAATTCGCATAAAAATCCGTACTACAGTTTTCATGTAAAAAATTAAATTGCGCAATCAAACTTGGCAGACGCGCTCCGATTTGAACTTATTGTAACTTTGAACAAGAGGAGCCCCCTCAATTAGTAGACAGGCAACATACATAACACCCTGGATGCACTTATATTAGTGAAATAGAATATTTCACTTTTCAGTCTCAATAATTCATTACATCGTTCGCCATTTGCGAGGGTTGCATCCTGCATGGTCAGAACCTTCCAAAATCATGAAGGAATTTCGTCAGGGATATATTATTAGGTAGGTGCAACATTTGCAAAATTTCTAGTGCTGGGAAAAGCCGAAATTTTGGGTGATAAAAGCTGTATTTGAGAGGACTTTTCATAAAAATCTGAAAAACTCGTCGAATTTATAAAACTTTATTACCCCTTTTTATTATTAGATTTATATGTAAAATTTGAGTACTTAATAAAGGCTTCATTATAAAAGAAGACAGAACGATCATTTTCTAAAGAGTTTTTAAGATATTTTCGAAAAACTTAAAAAGGGTTTTCCAAATACGTATATTCCGACCCTTTTTACAGAGTTGTCTTATAAAAATTAGGCAACGAGTTTTCTCAAAAGTTTAGTTAAGTGGCAGTCGTTGTCACTAGTTGTTGCATCGTGAAATTTCACTTAACACCGCTGATGGGCACTCTACTTTGCCTGTTAGGCGCTTAACTGCAGTTTTTGAAAAAATTGGGATAGTAAGACGTAATGCATATTCTGCGAAAAATTCGCTCTCTTGTTCAAATTTTTAAGCATCAAAAACTCAGGACTTTTTCTTTGTCACAACGATCCAATGTATGCAATTTCAAGACTTTGAACACGTATTTCTCGAGATAGCAAAAATTGTACTTATTGCACCTTGTCTTTCAAGCCCCTCAAATATTGTTTACCCTTCAATTTATGGAATGCCTTAGATTCGATTGGGTGACCAAAGATTTGTGGATGGCCTCACTGTCGAAAATTTTTGGCCTCATTAATCGATTGCCCATGACTTTTTTTTTAAAAAAATTCTGTTACCGTCTATGGAAGGCCGTTTGTACCTAAATTAAAAACTGAAAATATATATTTTTTTCCACAATNCACTTTATTTGAGCTTGACGAATCACCTTAAAGCACTTTAAGAAATGAAACATTCGTAACACACTGAACACAAGTGTTAAATATTTCATTTGGCAACGCTGTATTGTTTCATCGACGACGTTTCCCGGCGTTAAAAAAATTGTTTATTCCAATCAGTTCGTTTGCAGTTATTTCAGCAACCAATTGGCAACGCTGTATCGCGGTGAGAATTGGCAACGCTGTATCGCGGTGAGGCGTTATTTTGGCGACGTTTCTTGGCGAAAATATTGCGTTATCTAATCTATTCTGTACATTTGCAGTTAGTTTGGCAACATGGGGTCATTTATTGAATATTTCATGGCAATCGGCAACACTGTATTGCAAGGTGATCCGAAAAACACACGGCCGTTGCTGAGGGAATCGTTGCTAGCTTCCAGGACCTAAGTTCTTTCACTACTGGTAGTGCCATCAATTTTCTAAAGTTGCCTAACCTGTAAGCAAAATTACTCACGCTTCTGAAGCATTGGCTAGATTCTAGATTGGATGTTAGCGATCTGGACTAAGTAATCTGTGTGACATGGCAACAGATATATTTTAGTTTCTACTGAAATTTTGCAGCCCTGCCCTGTTCTAGTATGTACCTGTGTGACGTTCAAAGTTGATTGCCATTTTGATGCACCGAAGTTCGATAGTGGAAAGTGGAAAGCATCATTCCCTGTCATATTCCTCCAAAGCTCGCATCGTCAGGAATCTTTGTTTACTAAGAACAATAATTTTTCCCCCTGAAATCAAATGCTGTCGTACTCGGTGATCCTGATCAATGATCAATCCAAATTCTAGTGATGTAATTTGCCCTCCTTTCTTATGACGTCACCTAGTCCATATACAGTAACAGCTACCTTCCATGCTTCCACCAAGATTATTATTGTTTGAGGACCTGGAAAAAGAGGCGATCGACGCCGAAGTGTGTGTTATTATTTACATTTTTTCGTCAGAAAACGTAGTGATTGACCTGAGTTTCACAGTCACAGTCATACTTAGACTTGTGAACTGTAGCTAAGTTGAATAATTTCTGTACCGAGATCTTCATAACTATTTGTTCAATTTTAGTGACTAACTTATCACTTATTGCGCGATATCAGGGCTCCAATTTCGACACTTCTGGCGACTCAGTTTTGATTAATTCCAGTTTTGTCCAGCAAGTCGTAGTTTAGATCGATTATGTCGGTCGCTTATTTTCTGCATCATTATCTCGCCATTCAGTGGTATACATTTGTCATTTCGTCCAATTGATTTAACTCTGCGAGAAATAGGAGTGCCTTCCATCCTGCTGCCATTAGCATCAACTTCAGAAAATATCCTCGATTGAACTTCAGGCTCTCAATTTCGAATCATCCCGGAATCCTGTTAACAGTTGCGTTTGTGCTCCTCCAAGCTTCTAAAAAACTCAACGTAAGTAAGTTTGGCTGATTTCTGTATGTGTAGTCAATGCTTCATCTTTTCGACTCAACGTCAGGCACAACTCTGTTCATCAGGTATCACCGTTTTGAATTGACCGTGACAAAGTCTATCCTCATTAATGCGCATTGTACACAAGAGGGAACACAATAACTGCTTGAAAATCATTTTGGAAACTCTATCAAGTATTGTCGGCAGGTAAATAGCAAAATTTGGGGAGCCTAGCTTTCGATTGCGAAGAATCGTGTATTTCTAAAAGAATTTTGGTAAAATGCACGTTCTTTTTGCAATCATGGCAATTTGTGAATGAAGGGCCGTAAAATCCGCATAGCCCTATGGTTTCGGTAATACCTGAGTTTGATCCTCAACGGCTGAATTTGGACTTCTTCATTATTCTAACCATGTAAACGGCATCAATTGCTCACATGTAACAATATCTCTGCAGTAAATCTTATGGAGGTGCAATTGTTGTTTCAGGATTTCATCCAAGTTACAAAGCAAACTTTTCCAAGATTTTCAAGATTTTTTAAATTGCAGTATGACATTCTCTCTGGTTTTTCTTTCTCCTAACTTGAATTCATTTATCATATAATACTATACAGGCTCCTCCTCTCAGATCTTTCCGTCGTACTTCTCAGTTTTTTACTAGAAACTGCATTTTGTGGTTGGAGCATTGCTTCTTATTACGAATGATCACTTAATCCTTTAACTTTCTAAAGTCACTAAAGTTTTAGATTGTAAGTACCATTTCTGCCTTTAAGGATTTCAAGTTAATCAATAAGTGTTACATTCGTGAGAATCCATCAATGAAAAGTAATCCTTTAATTGATTCCATCATTATTTTGGAAATTAAATCATCCTGTTGCTTCCTTGCATCATTGTTTACTCATTTTTTTACTTCTTTTCCCCTTCCAGATGTCTCAAACACTAGCAAATACTGACAAAGAGGCCATTGTCAAAGAGTCACTTCTCAAATTTTTGCAGCAATTCATAACAACAGCACAACTGAGGTAACAGCTTTTTCTATGCCTTACTTTTTTTCAAACAAATTAGGAAGCTCAGGTAAAATATATCACACATTTAAGGCATTACCTGGAAGAAGGAATCTATATCTTAAAAGTTCTAAGTTTTTCAGAGCTGGCTCAAAATATTCTGAAAACTGAATGCTTCCATAATTTCCCCAATTCCTGGTCTATACATCGTGAAGAAGTTTTGACTTCCTCATCAATCTCCAAGATTCAATCAAAATTATTCTGAGAGCTGAATTTTTCAAAGTAATCTGGTGCTCAACATCAGTAAATATCTTACATTGAAATAATGAGACTTGTCATGCCAGGCATTTGTATAGACCATTTAAAGAAGTACGATACAAGCCATTTAACAATTTTTGTGACAGCAACAGTACCTAGGTGATCGAAGAATTTTCACAAACTCAAAATGAAAAACTCTCTAATTTATAACAGCAGACCCTCCAAAAATGATGATTCAATTTTTTCAAAACTGTCAGGTTAGGAATCTGCTGTTCAACATTTATTTCCTTCTCATTGCCTCCTCTTAAAATGTTCGTTTTTCATGTGTTGCAGCTCTATTGATGATATAGTTTTAAACTATGTGGTCAGCATCCTTGAAGATGTAGGAGAGGAGAGTGGAGAGGACAGTTTTGACGTAGATGCTTTTTCAGAAATGATGTCAGCATATATTCCTGAGTTTTCATGCATTGCTAATGTTGATGTTTGTCATTGGGTGTTCGATCTCGCCGCATCTCTGCGTGAGGAACAATCATGTAAGTTTGTTTTTTTTCCTACCCTTGGACTTAATAAGCACCTAGTTTAAAGCACCTAATTAATCGCATTATTGTTAAGATATTGAATCTGGACCACATCGAGGTGATAGAAGTACCTCTGCCAACTAGTAACTTTTCAGGGATGACAATTTTTCAACAATTTAATTTGAAATCATAAAACAAGAGGAAAATACTCTCTTCATGATCTATGTATGATTCAAGGAAAGTTCATCTTAACCTATTCAATTTGAAAAATTAAAATTGGATTAACAAATTTTCTAATAAAAGATGCAATTTTGTCTTTCCTATCAGCTATCAATTTTGCCTAAATGGAAAAAAAAATTGCTGAAGTAAGATCCTGGATGTTAAAAATCTGCGCAACACCTCTTGAATGTTGTTATGGACACTTTGGCTGTTGTAGTGCCATACTAGCCTTGTGGAATTAACAATTGTAGCATTTATAACAACATTCACGAGTTTTCGCGCAGATTTTTAACATCTTGGATGTTACTACTGCAACTTTTTTTTACCAACTTTTATTGATTCTTGTGCCCTCATACGCACTATTTTATCTTCTTTTATAATGATACACTTTTAAGTCAAGGATATATGAATTGTGAATCCTTTGAAATGTATAATAATAAGTATCATATGAATCTTCATGTGAAAAAATCATGTGCCGTAAATTCCCCCTCTATATGGTCCACTAACCTTCCCTTCGCAAGCTGCTCTGCCCTCTCTCTGCAATATGCGTCCCTTTCTGCACGCAGCACAGCTCTACTGAATATTCCGTACTTATGTATTTTTCTCTCAATCCTCTTTCAATTCTATAACCAAAAGTCTGTTCATTTTTAGCTCGAAATAGTGGGAAACTCACTTTGGAACAAAGTATAGATGAACTTCTCTCTCCTTTGAACATATCTGTGCCGCAAAAGCCCATCCCTGAATTGCACACACTCTCAAAGCTGGATACCAGCTCATCTGGAAGTAGTTGCAGCTCTGACAGCTATATCGACACCAATGATCATGAGGTATGTATGATTACAGCTCTCAATCTAAAGGCTCCTTTATACTCATCCCTTTATTTTTATTTGGTTTAAAAATAACACAGTCTTATGGCGTTGGCTTTATTTATAGGCTTAGGTTGTTTAATGGGTTAGTTGCGCTGGTCAGAGAATCGTGTTTTGATACTAGACTTTAGTAGGTTAGCTAAAAATAACAAAACCAAACAGGACTTTCTACGAGCAATATTAACGGACATATTGCATTTTGAAAAAATCAGTTTATGACATCCTCCACCACGGTAGTACACCAGTATACACCTTTGGTTTCTAACACCTTGCTTTCATCCAAGTTTCATGTTGAGTATTCAGTGCAAATGTGTGATGAAGTTGCAAATGAAAGCAAGATGGAGGAAACCAAAGGTGTAAATACCGCGGTGGATGAAGTCATAAACTGTTTTTTTCAAAGCGCAACATCTCAGTCAATATTGAACGTAGAAAGTTGGTGCCTGGACAGATCTTATTATAACTAGCTGATCTACAAGAGTCAAGCATCAATTCAGGATTCTTTGACCAGCCCAATTGACCCATCAGCATTGTCAAACCGCTCCAGTTATCAAAGAAAATAAAAAATAAATCTGTTATTTCTCTCTAGACTGCACAGCTGCCAATTGCTGAACGCCTGCACGCTTTGCCTCTTCATCAGGGAGGTTGACACAAGCGGCAATGTCAGCGGCAATGTCCACTCTGCTATTTCCCCTAACAAGGAATCATGAATTCGTGTCTTTTGCAGGCAAGAGATACAGCCAGGTGAATAGACCTTCTACATGTAAACTCGCTCAAAAATCATGTTGAGCACATAAAAAAAGTCTGAAGTCCCTTGCACGCAATCTGCATAGTTTGTAACACGCTTTTTCAAATACACCGCGTCTGCCAGCAGTTTTTCATAGTAGCATACAATCAGATTTGCCTAGAGGGAAACTTAAAGAAACCCAACCTAATTAAACAAACAGTCTTGCAATCTGTTAAGTATTTTCCTTAAGCAAGATTTCAGTCGATTTAAAGCTTTTGTTTTTGCAAAAAAAAATAGGGGGTAACAAATGCCAGAAAACGAATAAAATCATCTATTAGAAAAAGTTTGTGAAATTGTTTGTTTATTTAGGTTAGGTTTTCTTTCTCAAGTTTCTTTTTGACTGCTGGCCTATCTGGAAAAGTGCGTGCAGACGCGGTAAATTTGAAAATGCGCATTTCAAACAATGCGGATTGCACTCTAAAGGTTGCCGCTAGACTTTTTTAATGGGACTAACGCCTTTTGCGAGCGATTTTACACATCGCAAGTCTATTCACTTAGCCGTATCTCCTGCGTCCAACAGACCCATTTTTCCCCTCGTAGGATGAAGAATCTTTGTCTTCAAAGTTCTTAGTAATAGATAATGGCTGTTTTATTTACATTTATGTGGATCGAAAACTAATGAGAGGGAGTCTCATCACCTGAACAATCTTTATTCTCTTGTATTCCTCATTTATTCTCTTATTTCACTCAATTTCATCAGGTATAATGATTTCTAAAATTCAAAAAATTGTACGTACCTAACCAAAAAATTCCTGAATGATGGTTTATCACCTTAGAAGAGATTAGTTACATTTTATCACATGTCATGAACAGGAATCTCTTAAGGTATGCGTATCCCATGAGCACGATGTAATTTAAAATTGAATTAGGAGATGAATGATTGAGCTACTGTCTGAAGATGCTGTGAGAGCTGAAATGCATCTGCGGGTCCCAATTTTTGGAAATAAATTCAGAAGTGGCCAAATTGTTGATCTGTGCAAACAATTTTGTTTGAGACATTTTTTACTGACGTTGTGTTAATATCACAATAGATAGGTTGTATTAATTGAACTTCAATAAGCATACGACTCATTTCTTCTACTTCTAGACAAAAAATTTAGAAACAGTCAGTCAAAACCCGATTTTCTTTTGTGTAAATTCACTTCGATTTTCTCCATATTGACTTTTGATGACTTATAACCGGAACAGTCTATTTCCTCCTAGAAGCACAGAATGTCTCACTCATTTGTTTTCTTTTGTTTAGACTGTTCAAGCGTTGATTGAAATGTTTCCCGGAGTAAGCGAACTGGAGATTCGGCATTGTCTAACGATTGCCAACGATGACCTTACTCAAGCAACTCAAGTTTTGTTACATCGTCGAGAGACAGGCCAGAGTCTAGCTTGCAATGCAACTTTGTATCAGGTAATAATCTATACTAGTGCTAGGTATACATAGTGAATTGAAGTAATTGCATCTTTGTCTCCTCTTAAAAAACACCCATAAGAAATTATGCTCTTTACAAACAGGTTAATAATCGGTAAAAATTTCCTTTCAATGATTTCTGAAAGAAGACAATGATGGCATCTTTCATCCATGAATGTGATTCATTTTAATGAATTTTGATCACCAATGTCAGTTTCAAGTATTGTTACCAGATAGCCGAAAAACCAGCACTTTCCCCATTTAATCTTAAGTAAAATATCTCTGCTTCATTGCGTTAGGCAGCCTTGATTCTAAGAGACAGTTCTTAAATTTTTTAGCTTGCATCATTTTTACCTGAAATGTTAAAGAATAAAGTAGCCAAAGTAGTCTAAAGACCACCAGGCCACTAGCGTATGGGCTGTAAAGTATATTCATCCAAGAAAACACTTTGTTTAAATACACCGGAATATTCATGACATTTCGTGTTTAACTTCTGTTTGATTTTCGGCTTGCAGTGCAGCAACAAGAGAACACCATCTTTAGCTGATGACGAAGAATTAAAGTCCCGGATAATTGCTCGGTATAGTTATGTTGATAAAGATGAAGACTCAAAAGAACACAAACCAGTTGCTCCTAAAATTGTAAGTCTTTACTACCCTCCTCCGCTTATTGTTAGCCACATGCTTCATTGAAAATTAATGATTTCATACATTTTAAACACAGTATCTGCCATGCCAGTTGTATCGACTACCATTGAAGGGTTCTACTTGGGTGACCAGAATGCGGTGGTTCCTATTGAACACTCTTGTAAGGCGAGAAGTCGCCAGAGCCAAGAATATATATGCTCATCGCTCACAATTGGCATGGTCCTAACAGGAGTATGCATCACCAAACTTTCATTTTTCGTGTGTTATTTTGGTTCAGGAGGAATCGGAAACACCATGGTAGGCAATGAATTGATTGTTGAGACATATGCCTGACATCAAAGTATTCTTATGGCCTTGCAATGAGCTCATAATGTCGTTACTGATTTCTGTCCTCAAATATTTGTGTAATTTTGCCTCATATCAATGCACATGTGAAAATAATCAAAATTATATCCAAGTGGACATTGCTTCCTGTATAGGTTAAATAAATTGCTAAACATTTTTCTATACTAGTTTACTAGTTTCACATTTTTTAATATTCTTGCGTTTTTCCCCAATGTACAGGAATAGATATCCTCAAAATTCATTCTCTTTCATCTTCTAATAGTTTTAGGATTGTTTATTTTAAAAAAATTTGGGCAGGGTTTAAAAAATCTGGAATATTTATAGGGAGAAAAGTTGAATATTACATCAACTCTCGTAAATTGTAGGTGTTATCAAGTAGTAGATAGGGTTTTTGAAGAACAAGACCTAACTCTTAACTGAGGTATTTTCATTGAAACCAAGCAGAAACTTGATATAACTGGCCAAAGTATCAGAAGTGTCATCTACGCCTAGACACTATGTTGCCAGGTATATCTATATTCTTTTAATTTGTTCTCTAAAACTTTCCCTTGGACTTTCATGAAAATTTCAGGGATTAATCTCGTTGACAAAAGAACTGATAGGTAACATTTTTAAGTGATTCTGTTAATTATTCTGTTCATTTTTTTTTTTTTTTTTTTTTTTTTTTTTTTGGAAAAAATCGAACAAGTTTGAGAAGCTTGTGATATGTACTTTGGCTGGAAGGTGACAATATTTGGTTCAAATTGTAATATTTTTCTATGTATGTTTCAGGAACCAAAAAAATTGGTACGGTATAGAGATAATAAAATTGTGAGTTTGAAAGGTGAAAGATTTACTGAGGTGAAATCAGAAAATGCTGAAGAAACCACAAAGAAATCATCATCAGTGCGTCCAGGTAAAACCTACTGATGACCCCTAATCCTTAGGCTTATCTCCATTTTACTGTCAGGTCAGTATTTCTTATGCCCACTTTCATGACAAGACGAGATAGTTTAGCAGTTTTTAGATGTTTAGTCATCGTTATCATTTTTGATAATTATTTTCTGTGATTTTTACTAAATGTTTGACATTGCAAAGGGCTGATTTTTAAAACAGCTGTTTTCATCATCACTCAAAATTATATTGGTCAGAAAGTGATGTGGTAAATACCCTCAGGAAATGAGAATTGAGAAGAATTTCCTTTTTAGATTGTTGAGTTTACATACAAAATGTATGTAATTTAATTATAGCATCTCTTCTTGAAATGATTTTTGAAATTGATGAAGAAAATCTTAAATTTAAAATTCAGATCTGTTTCCTTATATGTTCTTTTTTTTCATTTTATACTGAACTTTTTTAAAAGTACTGATTATTTTTAGTTTATTATTTTGTTTAAATTTTAAAACTTTATTTTATTTTATTTGTCTGTCCATTGTTGTGAAATTAGAATATGATGCTGTACTACTTAAATTATGTTCATACTCTCCAACCTGCCTGAAATTAAAAATAGAATACTTTTGGTGAAGATTCTCAAATTACCAGCATAGAGTGTATTTATTTGCTGGCGTGTGTTTTTGTTTTTGACATTATGCACACTTGTTATCTCCGATTCTTTTCTCAATTTTTTTTTATTTGTCATTTTTTGTTTTCAAAGGAGTTTCACTCAATTAAATTCTCTGAGTTCTGAATCTCAAAGTAAAATGTGTTTGCAGTTTCATTTTTTGTAATATCAGCGCTGTAGTGTTGAACTGATAATATTGGTCTTATTCGAGCGAAAGTGTAGGTGGTTGTCATGTTTTGTCTAAACAGGGCAGCTGTTGATAAACTCTGAGGAAACATAAGTTCATTGAAAAGAACACCTCACTTTTTACTCCATCAAACCAGTCTCAACCTAAAACTAATTAATCTAAGTGACATTATTAAGCTGAAGCAACCACTTGCCTAAAGTTTGGGGCAAGTTTGTTTGTGTAAATCAAACGTAATATTACCTTGAATATTACGGTGCTAGTTTTTTTCTAAGTATTAGTGGTACAGTAATACCCTGACTATAAAGCTTTAGTTATCCGGTGTATTCATAATTGAGTTTTGGGTCGAAAGTAAGTCAGTTGACACAAAAACTACTAGTTTTTTAGGCTCAAATTTCATGAATGTATGCTTTCTTAAGTTTTTTTTAAAACTAAATAAATGACTAAGTTTTACAGGTACAAAGATTAGCCTAGCTTGTGCTCTTTGGTAACTAAAAGAGCCTAAAATGACATTTTTTCAGTCTTTTTTGGTGGTTTTGATTTTCTATTTTAGTCAAAATACGATGTGGACCTTGTTACAAATTGTCGGCTAGTCGGGGTATTGCTAAGCTAATTGAACTGGGTAAATTGAGGTCAATTAGCTAAAGTAATGTCCTATCTAAACAATACAGAATGTCCCAAGATGGATGCATGCAATTGTATGCCAAGGCTTACACCCACCTGAAACTCAATTGTTACCTAAATTGATGTTGGGTCTCTTCCTTGATTTCCTGCAGTAATACCAGTAAAATTATGCATCTCCCACGTAAGCACAATGTATTAACACCACCCTTTGTCACCCGATTTGTACTAAAAATACTTACCCTTACTTTTTTCAATGTCTTTAACTTTAAACATAATTTTTCAATGTACCATAAGGTGATAGATCTATGAATACAGTCACTTATTTTTTCGCAACCTTTCGTGTATTATCATGATATAAAATAATTTTGAGCGGTCATGTCATCCCCTAAAGAATAGCGTGAAGGGAAGATCCTTTTTGTCAATTTTGAGGTTTCTCAAGTGAGATCTCATGACGTCAGTTGTTTCATCATCATAGCAATCAAAATTTAGTGTTCTATATGCACAGTAATACCTCGATTGTCTGATGAACTATAAAGTTGCGCGAGATACCAAAAACGCTGTATAACCAAAAATGCATAAAAACACACAAAATTGCATGAAATTCCTATAGAAAAAACGAAGATTGCTTACTCTTATGTTCACTCTTATGTTGGACACAACAAATAAATAATTCATCTAATGCATGATGAAGTGTCAAGAACATTGTCATTTGTCACCCACCCAAAATTCATTACCCGTCATCATTAGCTCACTAGCCTTGTAGCGGCTGCCAAATTTCTTTTTGAGAGACAAATATTGGCATGTTGGCAGTGTCTTATACCTGCCTTGTATAAGTGATGGTCAGATAATCAAGGTATTACTGCATGCTTCATCTTTAGAGTAATGTTGTTTCTTAGAATGAGCTTATTAAGAATGTGAGCCTGGCAGAGATGCAGAAAGGGATAGAGAGAATTCTTTGACAGAATCAAAAATTACGTTTTGTTTTTTCATTCTCTAACTAAATAGGTTTCTGTTCCTTTCTTAGTCACCCTAATTTTCTTTGTCCTTTTTCTTAGCCTCTTTTCCCTCTGTTAGATTTAAAGTTTTTACTTTTTGACCTCAAGTTATTATAATACCTCTATGTTTAAGTATTTAGTTAAGTAACTTTAATCTTATGAATTTAAGCGCAGAGTTTTTATGCAGCCAATCGTTCCTTACAGACATTTGTACCATCTATTGTTTTTGCTTTGCAGAAATCTTAACCACCGACATTCTAATTTGTTTTAGTATCAAACATTAGCCCCTTTGTTCCTTCATACTTTTATCAAAGTGTACAAACAGAAATTATACCTAGATTCAATTTCTATGAATAAAATAGTTCCTCAAATTTTATGGAATTTCTTCCGTAAACTGGAATGACTTTGGTAATAAGTATGAAAAGCCAATTTTTCTCAGGCATAGAATTTTCTGAGATTTTTTAAAAAGAATGGAAACCTTTTTATGATGTAGGAAAAATTGTTTGAATTTTCAATTATTTGATCACCATTTTGGCATTTATGCTCAAAGATTTGAAGAATAATGCAAACTTATATCTGTAGTTAAGAGCCAAAGAAACTTAACTTACTGTTTGGAAAATATTCAGTCAGCATTCTCGCAATATTTAGTAAGGGATGATGGAGATTTAAGAGGGAACAATTGTTTTTTATAGAAATACTTTTATAAAAAACAATTGTTATAATATTTATAGATGATATTCAAAGGTTTTTAAAAGTGCAAAATACGCTGCAAGCAATGGAAGTGCAGCAGAATTTTCCCTTGATTCCTGGAAACGGTAGAAATAAACTCATGGTTCTTTGGCCCTCAACTACCGATATCTGTTCAAGCAGTCTCTGATTTAATACTATATCAAGTCAGATTTGATAGTTTGAAACTAGTTAGGGTTCAGAAGAATGCTTTTTCCATGTACTTTGCCGAGGATGATTGAAATTTTCCTCTCCTGGAATAGGAAGTACCTTCTACAACTTTGAATTATTGGACACTTCTGACTTTTGGAATGAACTAACAATAAGTATTTATCTTCCTGTCATTTATATCACACGAACAGCATTTAATTTACTTGTATTATCCCAGCGAAAACACTTGTCTCCCATTTGATACCTTTGTATTGTACCCGTTCACATTAATCTCCAAAGTATGGTTTTTTTCATGTTTTGCTGCTGCACAATCTGAGATAATTAATTCTGAAAATGATTCCTCTGACATATTGTATTTTCCTATCTGCTGACTTGTCTGTACCGATTTTTGAGCAATTCTGGTTTAAGTCAGTCAACAATTTTAGTACTTGTGCATTTATGTACTGTATGGTTTCACAAAAAGTTACACAGTTGCAGAGGGCTGTATGAGACAAAACCAAACAATAGAAGAAAGAGAAGAAAGGTTTTGATACTGGGTATCCAAAAATACTCTTTCTAAGAATACCTAGAGTCAAGAAAACCTTAATCGAGGGAAATGGTTACTGCATGAACAGAGATGATTGTTGTCTGGTTATAAGTATCGGCTATTGAGTAGACAGTGAAAATAATGGCAGGCTTTCGAGTTAGAGTTTTATCAAAAACATTATTTCCTTTGCTTTTCGAAAAAAATCATTGTAAGTAGGTGCACTTCATAATTAAATACACCCTGAAACAATTTTTCTTGTTCCATAGCCATATTTATTGGAGACACGTATTATTCCTTCTCAGTGGCGTGTCCTGCTTTTCCATAAATCAAGTGATCTCCCACTTTAGACCTATGAAAAGTATCAATTATTTGGTTGTTTGTAACGAACACTCAAATATTCGATTCTTTATTATAGCTTCAGATGGTCAAATATTGAAAGTCGATAATTCACGCTATGCCATCGTTTTCTCTTCATTAATCTGTCTTTTTGAGTTACATAACAGGAATTGGAAATAACTACATTCCAATACCGCAATTTTACCTGAGGCATTTAATATTTTAAATAAAGGTTACAGCATGTTCTTTTATATTGACTTTTTAGCAAAGCATATTAGACTTCAGCTAGTATCGCTTCTTCTAGTGTTTTTTTCCTTTATTTTTTAACACATCCATTTCCTAAAAAAAATTATGCAATTGAAATTCACTCGCAAGAAGAAAAGAGAAAAAATATTATGAATTTTTCCACAGCCTGTTCTTTTTCCCCCTTCATCATCATTTTTTCAGTTAGTGTATAAATTTATTTTGGAACCCTCAGCTGGAAGTAATTCATCTGTTCACTAGTCTCAACCCTCATTTTTTCTTTTTTCTCTCCTTTAATTTGTGATATTATGTTTAATAAATGTTCTTTTTTTATTTATAAAGGCTAAGATTTTTCAAGCTGCATCATTTTTGTTGTAATTTTTGTTTCTCCCACTGATTGCCATTTTAATTATGTTTTTTCATTGTGTTTTTACATCAAAATTCATTCATCCTATATATCTTACTATACTGAACACGCCAAGGCGTTCTTGATATAATGCCAGTAATTTTGCATCATACAATGTTTGAATTTTTCCTTGTTTTAGTGGGCTAATGAACTTCTCTTAGTGTTAATGTTGTGCATTATAAGTTAGATCGATTTCAACTTTGTAATTCAAGTTTTAGGTATAAGCTCAAAATTTTTTCAGCCCACGCTTTTGTGAGTCACCGTCAATTAAAGTAAAAAGTTTTTTATGCAATTAAATGTAAGCAGCATGACTGCTTAGCAAAAGAACGCTAATTTCGATGATGAAAGTGTAAAAATGTGTATCTCAGTAGCAGTATTTCGAAATTTCCGCTCCTATTTTGTTTTTTAAAAGGAGATGGAACCAATACCGGCTTGAAACTTCCAC